AGCGTAGATGATATTTTTACCTACGAAGTTGAAAATTCAACTTCATTCGAGCAACAGTTGCCTTTGCACAAATCCCATTCAACATTGGATTCAATTTTCGGGGGAGTCAAGTCTCGAAAGAAGTCATCGAAGACATGTCATAAATCATCGGACGACGAAAGCTGTCCCGGCAAAGGCGAATCCTACAGTGTAGAAGCTTGCGATTCTTCGTTTGAGCAAATATCAACCTTGCAGAAAGGCCATTCAACACTGGATTCAATTTTTGGGACTCAGCAAGATTCTAGAAAATACAAACTACGAACGAAGTCTCCGAAACGATGGGATGAAGCACCGGATGATGATAATGGTTCCGCATCAGGCAAAAGATCTAGTGATGACAGTACCTCGACTTCGGAAGATTCTCTAATCGAGGAAACTATGGAATACACCAGCGGGCCGGAGGAAGTGATCGTAGAAAAGTATTCGTCTCGTAGGGAAGTGGAAGGGTCTGATACCGAAAGACAAAATTCCATCACCCCTTCAACGAAGTGTGAAGAAAGTATTGCTATCACCACATCGGATTCTTCGCAAACGACTAGTCTACACGCATGGCTGATTAATCAAGGCAAAAATAAACCCCTAATCGGCTCCAATGGGTTGATAGAGAGCCGTACACAAAATGAAAAGCAAACGAGTTCTCTCTTTGTCTACAGCTATCACGGATATCAGTGTTCGGAGAGTACAGAAGTGGGAGATGACTTGGAGCCTCCGTTTCGATATGACAACATACTGCGAAGCAAGGATCAGAAGCGGAAGCCACGACGAGGTGATAGAAGTACTGGGAAGGCGAGGAACGCAACAAGAAATAGGAAAAGGAAACCAGAAATGGATTGCGAGAGAAAAGGACCCAGCAGTAGTGACGGAGCCACACAAGAGAGGCACATGAATCGAACCATTTTGCTAGATGAGTTAAAGCAGGATCTTACCACCCGAAGCAAAGAACAAAATCATCCAGTAAGTGTTCCTCCCAAATTCACTCAGAAGGTAACAGCGGGGTACAATATACCCCTTTGCGAACTCAAAGAGGAACTTTGTCGTCAGCCCGTTTCGAAAAGCAAGCCATTACCAGTCCCCGATAAAAGAGTTTGGGATGCGGGGAGTAGACCAAGCGACTTTATTTACGAGTTGAAAGGGCGGATTGCATCTCGGGTAGCGGAGCAAGACAATTTGAGACCTGTTCCTAGAGAGGAAGATCGGAACGTTGGACGAGCTCCAGGCGGTCTGATACAGGAGCTCAAACTTGCTCTGGCAAATCGAGAGAAACGTGTCCTCAATTACGATTTCTCAGCTGCAGAATCAAAGAATCTGACTCGTGTTTTTCCGGACGATCAGTTGATGATCGAGCTGAAGCAAAAACTTGCACACCGTCATCATAGGGTGCGCGGTTCTAGTGTGCTTCAAGCGCAGCCAAGTCGAGAATGTTCGGAGCCTGTGGCACAGGTGTCACTTAGCTCTGTGAAAGAGGTTCAGGAATCAATCAAAGAACGAATGGACGAGCAGAGCAGTTCTTGCCACGGCTCAAAGTCAACGGAGACAACTGGCACAGTGGACCAAATGGATTGTGATGGAAACATGTCCACAGTATCCGAACTAGGAGAGCATTCCGCGGTGTTCACGAACTCAAGCCCATCGCGAAATCTACAAGTTGAGAACTACGGCAACGAAAGGAATGAATTGCCATTAGTTGTGACAACGAGAAAAGCGATGAAAAAGGATCGAACTGCCGACAAATATGCTAGCAAACGGAGAGACGACCCTTTCAAGGAGTTGAGCCGTCTGAATCAGATTCTCGAGAGCCAATCGGACAATGAAAGCATTGCAACTCCTGTGGGAGCAAACGAAGCGATTGAGTCGACATTCGATCTCGAAGACCAGTTTCAGAAAAGCTCAAAGTATCCTTGGAAAAATATTGGTGACAGAAAAAAGAATCCAAGCACTCAGAAAAATCAAATTTTAGTAGTCGATTTTGTGGCTCCCGGAAAAACACCTTCCGATAGAGGGAGCGCTGAAATGGATCTTTTGAGTAGGTACAAAGAAGACATTCTCAAGGAAAGGATGAAACGAAAAAGCATCGATAGAAGCGTCAACGGTGACCAAAGTATTAGCTCCATCGTATCCTACAAAGCTCGTCTCTTTCCGAAAAAGAAGGAAAAGCCAGACAATATTCCTTGGTGGTTACCGGAGGAGACAGACAGCAGCACGTCTTCAAGTTCAACTGTGAAGCAAGATGGTACAATCGATGAAAGTGGGGATGAATCTTCCACGGACGGTGATGAGATCTCATATGGATCATCGTCGTACGCCGCGACAACCTCAACAAGTTCCAGTTTTTTTGCCAACCTCTTGAAACAACGGTAGAGACACGCAGTGACGCGATCGGTTGTCACGATTTTCATCAATAATAGATTAGACTTTTTCAATTCTTTCAATTCAAGTGTCCTTCGGTTTTCCCATTTGCAACCTACAGTAGTTGGAATGCGAAAGTACCTGGTACGCAGCATTATACTTTTGTACCAGTAGATCATTTCCATTCCCATCTTGGGACAGATGGGCTGATCTTTCACCGATCGCCCTCGATTGCTTCGTGACCTCGTGAATCTCGGTGGTACGTCTTTGAAGAACGCCAATGATTGCCGACATCGTCTATCGGAGCTGATGGAAGAAAGTCGCGGGGCTAGTGGGGGTGCCAGCAGGTAGCATACAATAGCATACAATAGCATGCAGCATAGCATGCAGCATAGCATGCAGCATAACATGCAGCATAGCATGCAGCATAGCATACAATCTAGCATACAATTGAATTCCATCTTTCTTCATGTCGCATCGAAAGCCCATCAGTCTGTCACTATCATTGTGGGCAGGGCAGTTTTGTTGTTGTAAGGAAATCCGACACCTTCCAGAAGCACTGACGCTTTTTCTTCGCCAAAGGTTTGGAGAAATGACGCCAACCATTTACGAGGCGTATCTCCTAGCTTACCAGTGATTGTTTTATTCACCTCTAGATTTTTCTTCATGAAGGTTTCATAGCGGTCTTTTCCACCTCTGACATCGTTGGGTCTATCAAAGTAGTCCCATGTCCCAAGATAGTGATTGACGTGCATCAGGTCTTGACTTTCCCCCCACGCCGATCCGCACTCCCTGATGAGCATATGCTGTGAAAAACGAGTATAGACGTTCACAGAGACACGTGAAGCATCAATGATACACTTTCCAATGATCGTTTTTCGGCGATGGTATCGAAATCTCATTGTTTGAAATCGAAAAGGATCGAAAACGGCCGGCACATCTTTTGTCACCGCTTCTTGTGGACTCTCAAACCCGGAGAATTGTTGCCGCATCAAGCAAAGGCATAGCGTTGCTTTGTTCCCCCATCGAATGTTTTGCTTCTGAGAATTGATTAGTTTGACAGTGGTGTTTTGCATTTTCATGATCTCGTTTCCACTTTGGGCAGCCTTGAGTGTTTTGAGGATGATTCCGGATTGCTCCATCATTTCTGGAGCGGCAGGAAGTACCTTTGCATTGAGTACCAAGAACTCATCCGTGTCCCCAACAAAGGTCCAAGTCCACTTGTTCTGCTTGAGATGGTTGAGGCAATTGCGATAAAACAATCCTGGAAAGCGAGCCCAAATCAGCATGTTAGGAAGATCAACTGATCGAATATTGCCATGCAAAGTTGCTACAATACCTTGCAATTTGTAGAAGCGTGAAACGCCATTCAGTTGGGATAGAATACTTCTAGCCTGCGGGATGAATGAAAGTTGGTGAATGTCTGTCCAGTATGTAATTTCCAGATATGGCTTCCATCGTTCCAAAATCTTTGTCGGATCCTTGTCACTCTTTGGATCACGATAAATAACTAAATGTCGCATTGGCAAGACATGGTAATGATAGGCGATCCATTCAATCAATCTCTCGTAATCATCCATCCACATTAAGCAGGCACCGAAGGAGTTTGTTCCGTTGTATTCAAGAGTTGGTAAAGGATTGGGAGATGAGGTTGCTGATGAAGCGGAGTCTGACAATGGAATTCTTGTTTGGTTTCTGAGAGCATTTGTTTCGCTGTAATTGTGATCTTGGCGTTCTCTTGTCTCGATTGCGATCACGGTTGGGCTCAAAGTTGTCAGTGTCAGTGTCGTTGTTGTTGTAGTCGAAGTCGAAGTCCTAGTTGTAGTCTTGGTCGTGGTTGCAGTTGGACTTGATGTTAGAGTTTCATTCAGAGCATTGTGTAACATTCGAAGCTCGCTTTCTTCTTCCTGTAAAGGCAGATGATTCGTTCCGTGTATACTTCTGCTTTCTTTTGGCTCTGTAGATGATGATTTGATCCTGGGCATGACGAGATCTTCTTGAGGTGAATGTTCCAGTGCCATCGCAGTTGGGTCATGATGGATCACCTGAGTAAGAAGCAAAGCGAAGTAGATTGCACTGAAAGCGAGACCCACAATCCAAATATCGCACTTGGGTTTCTTTTTCATGGTGGATTGACTGATTCTATTCTATCACAGGGAATAAGTCCTCTCAAGATGTAACGATACACCAGAAATAAGAACGTGTAGGTTTTGGATGAAAGTTATTACAGTAGGCGGGCCATATACTGTATAGATATCGTGTATTCAATACTTGTACACTATGCATGTATCTATTCCAAGTTCACAATTGAAAATATAGGACCTATATAGCCTACCTGGTACCGGTACCTATACCGGTACAACATGACACAGCATCGCGGTGATCGGTGAATACTGGAAAGGGAATACGATAGTCCTTCTTCGAATCCTGGAAAGGGGATAAGATAGTCCTTCTTCCAAACACACAACACAAACAAAACAACACACTCACGATACATACCGGTACATACCGGTACGGGTATTGGCATTCATCATACCGTACCTGGTAGTCTAATAGATACATACATGCATGGCACCATGCCCTATGAATACGGTGAAAATGACGTTCTAACCCTCAAGGGAGCAGCAGCACAGCAAACAACACATCCTGGTAATATCACGTATTACAAACTCTGCGAACAGAAGTACCCTGAGTATGCAAAGGAAGAATCGAGCGTTGTCCGGCGGAATATTTGCATAGAAATTGTGAAAAAGATTACCAACGAGCACGGAGGAGTCTTTCGCAAATACAACGGAGCCAAGATGGATGCAGCAGCAGCCGTAAACAAAACAATGGACCGATTTCGCCAGATCCGCAAGCCAAAGATTGTGGCACCGAAATCTGTTGGTGAGAACGACGTTGTATTCAAAGTTGGTGCTGCCAATCATCTCTTTCCGGGCAATGCAAAGTGGAGACTTCTGTTGGATCAGCATGTGCATAGCTACTGGCCAGAGCTTTTTCCTGCCAGCAACAATGGTCTCTCCAATGACAGTCGTAGTGGCAAGGATGATGTGGAGACAGAGACAGAGATAGAGACAGAGATACAGCAAGAATCCATAGAGTCGGCTTGGAAGCGAGTAAGAGGTCAAAGGCCCTACTATCAGGTAAATTCAATTTCAATCAATGAATATCGATAATCAATTCTTGCAAGAAACACGACAAGTGAGCCCAATCATTTCAATCATCATACAGTACCTTACCGGCACTTTTACCCTTCTTAAATCAGGTGGAAATTTCCCACAAGTTAATTGATATCATTGAAGACCGTGGTGGCAAGTTTCGCAATGCGGCACTCAACGTAATGGAAGAAAGGTACGTGCTGTATGGGAAACGATTCCAATCATGACTGGTGGCTCTTTTGCATCTCTAGCTTTTGTTTCTCAACACAACTGAAAACTGAATGCTTGTGCCTATGTATGACTGCCTACTTTACACGTACCTGGTACAGGGAAGGTGTGTTGACCAAAATCCATGAGCGATTCAAGGACATCAAGAAGTACATAAAGAATGGCACCTACCAATCCCCAGTTATAAGCAATAAGAATCTCGATCAAAATGGCAATGGCGGAGACATTGCGAATGCCGAGAGTTTTTACGTCATCAAACGAACTGGATGCACATCCACTAAAGCAACCGTTATTCATAGTGAACACCATGAGCACGGAAGTTCAGCAGCAGCATGGGCGTCCAAGAAGAACAAGCGAAGAAAGAAAAAGGAAAGCGAAGATGTAGGTGATGCCTCTAGCGATGAAGGCGGCAGCCATGGCAGCTTGGACAGCATGGAATCCTTCGACGATAATACTACTTTTCCAAAACGAAGCAAGGAGCAAGCCCAAGCTCGTCGAGAACGAGCCCACCGTCGTAAAGAAGCGATCCAGAACAGAAAGTCAGATCAAGAAACCAAGCCCAAAGCGAAAAGGAAGAGAAAAAAGAAACCCAATGGCCTCTTGCCACCCGAGCTACCAGATCACGAAATGAGCGATTACGAAAAGTTGAGATTTGAGAAGATGCAGCGAAATTATAATCGTATGGTCAGCTTGGGCCTTTGCGCAGGTGCCACTGCAGAAGTGTAGTGTAACTATCCATCGGGGTATCTATCATGCTTAATATTTATTAACAAAGAGAAAGTGAAACTATGTTATTACAATACTGGCATGATAATATATTGCAGCATAAAATACAATACATACAGTACAGTACTGTAGAGTACGCTGGGGATGATAGGGGAACCTCAAAAACTGATTCCCCCAATATACTGTACGATACGTGAGCGGCATACGGTATCTCGTATCGTATTATGGTGGCTCTTATTCTTCCGTCATCAAAAGCAGTAACCCAAACGATAACAACAATCGAAAAATAAACGATCAGTCCTCAGTCTCTTTCCTTTCGATTTTCATCCGACTTTACCAAGAGTGAAAGCCATCTTCAGCTACAGGTCGCACCAAGCTACAATGGGGAATTGTCAACGGGGTCGACCCAGAGACGCAGAGCCTCTTCATACTGGCACGAGGACATCTCCTGATAGCAAGTTACTTCAAGTCCATGATCGACCGACCATTGGTGATGTCTTTCCCAATCTGAAAGGATCCACTCAGCTCAGTGATGATTTTGATTTATACGAATATATTGGAAATGATAAGTGGGGCCTGATATTCATGCACCCAGGGGATTTCACGCCTGTATGTACAACTGAGTTGGGTGCTGCAGCGGGTCTTGCTTCAGAGTTTGAAAAACGAAACGTCTCAGTGGTTGGATTCTCTTGCAACAATGCACAAAGTCACCGAGATTGGATAGTCGATATCAAAGTTGCAACCGGCGAACAGGTAAACTTTCCCTTATTCTGTGATCCTGACCGCTCACATGCCAAGTGGTTGGGGATACTGGATCAAAACAACCGAGACCGAAAAGGTCTGCCGATGACAGTGCGATCCGTGTACGTGCTCAAGCCGAACAAAGAAGTGGCACTCGTCATTACCTATCCAGCATCCACAGGACGAAATATGAACGAAATCCTACGAGTCATTGATTCGTTACAGGTATCGCACGAGTATGAAGTTGGAACACCAGCGAATTGGACTCCGGGAGGTAGGGTTCTGATAAATGCTACTCTATCAGACAACCAAGCAGAAGGACGGTACGGAAGAGAACAGATTGAATATGTGGATGTTCCGTCAGAACGATTCAGTGGTGCAATAAGAAGGCATTACCTGAGATACGTGAATGATCCGACAGTAAAGGAACAGCCACAGGAAGGTACTTGAATCTTGGGGAACGTTGTCAGTATATAGAGCTAGATGGTATTGAGTGATAATGTACTTTACTTGTTGTGTCTTCTTTGAAAATGAATTGGTGTAGCGAAGGGAGAACAAAAAAACATTTTGTACTCAAACCATTCCGTACCTGGTTCCACTCTGCTCATGAAGGATGATTTGGTTTTGATTCTTAAAAGTCAGGAATTCTAAAACCAACATGATGCCTGAAACCTGTACAACAAACACTTCCTTGAACGAATGAAAGGTTCCAACCTGGTCCCATGGGACACGGCAGAATCAAATACCGGTACTACACGAACGTTTTGAAAAGGTAATATACACTAGTACTGGATTACGGTGTGTGGAAGAATGATCAACTGTCAATATCAAATTCTTGGGAAATGGAAACAATTTCATGACGGAGTTCTTGATGAAAATACTCCAATTGAACCATCAAACGAGAAATTTTACCAAGGCGATCAATCTGTCTATCTGATTCCAAGTCATCTACCAGAGAAGACTCCTCGGTTGTCTGACTATCTGCAGAAGATTCTATTGCTGATCCTTCGTCACTTGTCACAATTTCGGAAACTCTGCTGCTGGCTTGTTCCAAAGAGTTTGTTTCAGCCGTAAGAAGAGGGCCAGTCTTTTGCCGTTTCCTTGGATGACACTTCGCATCGTTGTTTGCGAACCGTTTACTCAAGATGGAAGCCTGCTTTGCCATGATGGAGGAAACAATCTCTGACTTGAGTGCCCCAATTTGGTCCCACGATTTCACAGTCAACGCTAAAGTTTTCTCGTTTTCTGTGATTTCTCTCGGCACATTGGGAGTCCCTGAAAATTGGTTGGCTTCCCCTTGCATGGATGGAGTGTTGGGCATCATGTTTACTGTATTTTGAATTTATGTGCTTCGGAAGGGCATTGTGATGGATTGGTATGCGAAGACTTGCCAGATGGTGAAGCAGATGTTACACAGAATGGATTAGGTGAAGAATTGAGAGTCGCTTGAAACCTTGTTTGTAGTTAACGATTTTGGTTGCACCATCCGGTCCTCGTTCTGTGTTCGTTCCTGTGATTCTTCCGCCTCATTTCTCATTCACGCGGTACGTACGACTAGTACATTGCACAGAAAGCAGATGGCGTTCTTTCCCACAAAATGGGGCGAAAGGAAACTTTTTACACGTCACCACGTCGTGAGCAGCTGGGCATTTTAAACTCTGGTCGAGCGAGTCGTTAATCCTTTTTTGGTTTGGACCGGTCCCGTCCCGCCGTCCCCATCCTAAATCCCCCATAATATCAAAAATCTCAAATATGAAATACGGTACAGTATCGTAATGACTCGATCACCATAATATGTATCATACAGTACTCGTACCAGGTACCCTTTCCCCACAGTACTCGTACCCTTTCCCACCACCACTCTTCGTCATCGGCTTGCCCTTTCTTTTTGTGCCGCTTTCCCTCCAACAGTGTTTCCACAATGACAAAAATGGGCCTCAATTGGCTCACTATCGCCCTTGTTGTCGGAGCTGTGGCGCTGTCGTTTCTATCATTATGGGAATCCTCACGCTGCACACCCAATAACTTTGAAGGCACCCATGCCATGAACGTGAACGTGCCACCACACATCAACGAGCAAAACAGTCGTCTCCCTTCGCCCGAAGAGCGAAAGAATGATGATAGGGTTCTAGAAACTGCAGATCCAAAAGTAGAACAACCAATAACAATACCTGCAGAGTCTCCCATATTGCCTGCTGGTGCTGAAATACCAACAGCAATACCCAAGACGTGTTATGGAACGCCACAAGAACGAAGAGCACTAGCAAGAAATGACAAAGCAACTGCCGAAGACTGGAAGCGCATGGCGCGATGTACCTTAAATCGGTACTCTACACTCTATGGTCACTTTTCGATGCACATATCCAAGGCTGGTGGGACATCCTTCTGTGAAGCTCTCAAAGACAAGACGAATCAATGCCGACAGGTTCCTCCCAAAAAAGAATCCAAAGGAACCAGCTACAACTACAACTGCTACGTCGCTCAGAATAAGCCAATCGATGACGGTCCAATGTGGAAACGACAAAAATTCTATCTGGGACCTCGGTGGACTCGAAAAGAGACCAAACAAAAGCTGAAATTGGATTTCTGGATGGGAGGCGACGAAGAGGACAATATAATACCTTGCTCTGTGATTGAGAACCACTTGGAAACTGAAGATAATATGGTTGTATTCAGTGAAAATCATTTAGTAAGCGGTGATGCATGTGACAACAAAATGGTCAACTCAATTGTCATGCGAGAACCCATGAAACGATTACTGTCGCATTACAATGATGTGTACCTATGGTGTCTTAAATACAAGAACAATCCACTCTGTCTAAAGATGCTGCAAGGAGGCAATCTCACGGATGGGGTTCGTATCTACGATGTCATGTTTATGGCGGAGAACTTTGACTTTATCAGTGATAACATCTATGCTCGGTCCTTGAACCCAAGCAAAACGTACTATGCACCCCTTGGCTTTGAGGGTATGGATAGCGAGGCAGTGTTATCCTCAGCATTGGAATCCCTTTCAAAGTTTGATTGGGTGGTTGTAATCGGAAGTGGAAACTCCACCGAAGGGGAGAACAACGACCTCATTCTCAAGGATGGCCTTGGACTTGGTTTGGGTTTGCCCCATTCCAACACTGTCGGTTCCAAGGCAAGCGCTAGCCAAACGACAAAGACACCTAGCTCCTTATCTGCACAAGGCAAAGTTTTCCTGCAAAAGCTGAATGACTTGGACTACCGGATATGGGAAGAAGCACAAGATTTGCACAATCTGGATGTAAAGTCCATAAACCTCATGAAGCAGTATGGAGCTGATGTCTTTGCGGAGTACGAAACAAAAAAGCGAAAGAACTCTGGGGATATATGTTGTGGATACGTTTGCAAGACACCAAACAAACTCAAGAGCTAGTACAAGCCTCGCCAAGTGAAGCCAAATGGTTAAACTGTATATAAGGCTGAGAAGTGCCGGATGCCGGACATATTCTAGGGATACAGGTAGAAATGGGGTCGTTGAAATCAACGTCTTTCCGTCACGCGACATAGTAATCATCATCACCGCCATCACATTTATTCCGACACATCAAAGAATATTCGACCAAGTACTTGAAGGAGAACCGTCGATCAGTAAAATCAAAACAGTCTTCTTTTTTAGCTGGAAAGCAACGTCAACAAAAGAAAGAAATATGATACTACACAGTCTCTTAGTTTGCTGCCTAATCCTGCCCGATGCTAGAGCATTTTCGCTGTCTGCGCTTCCAAGGACTGTCACTTCAAGAACGAGCACCACATCCTTAGCATCTTCCGACTCTGCAAAAGCTGCCCTGGAAAGAACTGCATCTCATCTTGAACGACTCAAGTCTCGGGAAGACATTGTATCCAGTGGCAACGCCAATACCGATCACGCGTTTGAAGCTTTGACAAGAGAGTATCTGCAAAGACCAGCGAATGCATTAAAGGGAGAATTGAAGAAACTCAGGCAGCCAACGAAAGGGGGGAAGCCAGATCTAGCGCGTCGATTAGCTGCTTACGACATTGCAAAAAAAACTGGTGTTTCGCCTGTTGGCAATGATAACTCAGAAGTGAAAGACTGGAATCCAGCCGAAGAACGAAAGAAAGGAGACACAGTGGTGGGGGAAGCCTTGGGACCAATCGACACTTTTTGTGGGTTGAAATTGTCCAAGGCTGCGAGTGAAGCATTGGGAAAAGCCAACTTCAGAGCGCCCAGTCCCATCCAGGAAGCAGCAATTCCCGCTCAAGTAAATGGAGAGTCCATCATCGTGCATGCCGAAACAGGTTCTGGGAAAACGTTGGCCTATCTGTTACCCATCACAGAGCAACTTTGGAAAGACCACTACGCAGAAGATGATGATGGCTACGGATTCATCATGACTCCAACCAGAGAGCTTGCAGCTCAGGTAGCAGGTACGTAGGAGTTACTGTTGTTGGCGTATACACTACTGGCTCGAACTTCCTTTTCTCATGAAGCTTTTGCTGGATAGGTATTGCATCGGTCTTGGCCCCTCCTGGAACTGTTCGAATGGTTTCACATCCTACCAATTTAATGACAGATGGTCTAAAAGACCGTGGCGAAAGAGAAAATGGCGGCCGTATAGATGATGGTGACGGAAGAACCATGCCGCGATTGTTCATCGGATCGGCAAAGAGCATCATGGGGAGTCTATATGGTGATGGCAAAATGCCAGCTCCTCCCACGACGAAACCAGAGGCAAAGTATCTTTTGGCGAATACACGGTGGGTGGTGATGGATGAAGTGGATCGACTGCTTGATACCAAGCGAGGAAGAGACCCATCTACAACCAGGAACAAGCACGAGAAGCCCGCAGCAATTGTCACTTCTGCAGTCGCTCGATTGACTTTCGGCAGGGCTCAGGTTGTATCAGTGAGCGCAACAGTAGGAAGGACATTGAAACGGGAATTAAGCCGAGTGCTTGGATTACCTCCCAAAGAATTCCCAGCCGTTGTCCGTGGTAACGACAGCATGCAAGAAGAAGAGTTCAGAAAGGCGAACACCGGTGGTCATCTTGGCCGAGCAGTAACAATCCCTGAGACCGTAAAGAACTATATAGTTCCGGTCGACAGTTCATCAACGGGAAAGGTGTTGACTAGCGCATTCTTCGTACTCCGAGAGTTGAACAAGCAACAAACCCGTCGTATTCTGCTAGTATTGACAAAGGGCTCTGGAATTAGTACCCAGAATACGCTTGGAGCCTTGAAACACTTTCAATGCAAACCAGAGCCAAGATCTCTACTCGACGTATTGGAAGCGGACGGTACGGACAGGCTCATTGAGGTGCACCGTGAAGTCTCTGGTGCTACTGGGGTAGGCGAAGCGAAAGGTGTTGAGAAGGATCAAGGGTATGTGTTGGTCACTGGAGAAGATTCAGTGAGAGGTCTGCATTTGGACGGACTGGATGCTGTCGTAGTTGTCGGGAGAGCACAAGGACCAGATGAATATACCCATATCGCTGGGAGGACAGGTAGAGCTGGACGAAGGGGTAGTGTTTTTAATGTTGTGAGTGGAAAAGAGGCATCTGCTGTAAAGGCATGGGAAAAGATGCTTGAAACAGAATTTTTGGAGATTGCAATCGAAGACATCCCAAACCAAAATAGAGAGTAAACTGAGATATAAATTGATGTTCATATTATTTGTTTTCTATGGCCAACGAAACAGAGACTTTGGCCCACAGTCGCGGTCAACTGGGTCATATTTCTAGCGGACTCTATAAGATCTATTGTTCACCCTCTTCTTCCGATTGTGCATGACGAACAATTTCGGAAAATATGGAATTTTCGTCCTTCAACAATTCATCAGGCGCATCGAACTCTACAGCACGACCATCCTTCAACACCAATATCTTGTCGCTATCCATGATTGTGTTGATCCGATGCGCAATAGTGAGGACAGTGCAGCCGTTGAATGCTTCCCGAAGTGTTCGTTGAATCTCTCTGTCGGTTTCAATGTCCACACTTGCAGTTGCTTCATCGAGAAACAAGATCTTATTTTGTCTCAATAAAGCCCTTCCTAAAACTAGCATCTGTCTCATTCCATTACTCAAGTTTTGACCACCCTCGGCAACAGCTGCTTCAAGCTGTCCCGGCATCTCTTCGACGGACTCTTTCATGCCACATTGCTCCAAAGCTTTCCAAATTTCCTCTGTTGCGTATTCACCAAAAGGGTCCATGTTGATCTTGATTGTCCCCGAGAAAAGTACTGGATTCTGAGGAATGATCCCGAGTTTTGAACGAAGATCTGTCAAGCCAATACGCAAAATGTCAACTCCGTCAATGGTGATAGGACTCTTGTAGTCCCCTTTCAATTCGTCCAAATTTGGCTCCACAAGTCGAAGCAGCGAGAGCAATAGCGAACTCTTTCCAGAACCGGTACGCCCAACAACTCCAACACGTTCTCCTCCCTTGATACTGACATTGAGACCCTTCAAGACCATTGGAGTGTCTTTGCGGTACTTCATGTGTAGATCCTGGATATCAATACCTCCAGTCTGCGGCCAATCGGAGGGAAGAGTCTCCGTTTTTCCACCAGCAGAATTAGTCGCAACAGTGTATGGCTTTTTCTCTTCGGAATCGCGAGAGTAGCGTTTTTTGTCATTAATCTCGTCTGCAGTGAAAGGTGCTTCTTCTGGTGTCTCTTCCGTGTAGTATAACATTCTTTCAGTTGCATTCATGGCATTTTCCATGTTCGAAAACGTACGAACCGTCCACTGCAGTAGACTTGTAACTGAAATGGCATAGGTCAGAGAAAGGCCAGCAAGTGATGCCACGGGGGCTCCTCCACCAACGCCACCACCAGAATTCGAGATGACAAGGTTGACGGCCAACACAGCGGTAATTCCAGCAATGGTTGATCCGAGCAATTCCAATCTGGTAGACAACCACCGATCTGCAGACTTGTTGTTGTACAGTGCTTGAGTGTTGGTGTTGACTTTGCCCTCAAACTCGCTCTTGAATCGATCAGGTTCGCCGTACGCCCGAATGGTAGACAGTCCTCCAAGAGTCTATGAATGGCGGAATACAACGGTGAGTCCCTTATTTAGTAGATGAAAGCAACCAACTCATTTCCCTTGTTCTTACCTCTGAAAACTGAGCATAAACAGGAGATCGAGAGATACTGTCAAGCCTCTTTGTTTCGCGACTGACCGCACGAAAATACTGAAGATACTGGAAATAAATGAATCCAAGCGGAATAACTGCAACTCCAAACCAAGGGGTAATGACAATTATCGATACCAAAGAAACAACGATTGTCAAGGTACAGAAAATCACAAAATCAATCGAGTCGCCCAACTCCAAGTCCACCTGGTGGTAACAGATATGACAACAATAATGAGAATACGAGCAAAAACCACAACGTAAGACATGGCGCAAAAGCAACACATACCGAGTACACATCCTTGCTGAATCTGGATAGAATTCTTCCCATCGGGGTAGTGTCGAAAAAAGACATAGGAGCACGCAAGATAGATTTGAGAAGGTCGTTGTGAAGCCTCTCGCTTGCCTTGACACCGAAATAGGCTAGAAGATAAGATCGCATAAATGTGAAAATACCAAGTGTGACAGCCAGTAAGAAGTACATTCCCAGGTAAAACTCCCTCGAGTGACGGTCGTAGTTTGGATCTGAAGTCCAATAGGACACCCATGACACACTGGCGGCATTGTTTGCTGCAGTGAAGACGTAGGCAACGTAGACAAACGCAAAGCGACCATAACCGCCACCCGCCTTGATGTACTTGAGGTACACTGAAGTTTGGACTGCCCCAACATTGCGTTCTTCCTTGGTCAACAACTTTGTTAGCTTCGAAGTAGCTACAGAGGATTTCCTGTCGCCTTCGACTTCCATTGGTTTTGCTTCCTTATCCACCCTCTTGGAAGATTTGCCAGCAAGTTTAGCCAAAAGACGATTCATTTCACTCTCTTTGTTCGCGAGTAGTTCTGGGGCTGTTCCATCTTCCATCACTTCACCCTTCTTCAAGACAACGACGTGGTCGCATTGAGTGAGAAATTGCAATTGATTTGTAACTAGGAGTCTCGTCTTTCCAGCCATCAAATCCCCCACAATACAATCATTGAATAAGGCAGCCGCAACTTCAGGATCCAAGGCCGACAGGGGATCATCTAAGATGACAACGTCCGCATCCGCATAGGCTGCGCGGGCAACACTAACACGAGCCTTTTGCCCTCCGCTCAGGTTGATGCCCTTCTCTCCAATGTCAGTAAGATCCCCGTCCTCCAACAGTGTCAAATCGTGCTCCAATTGGCACGCCCTGATGACGCGATTGTAACGATCTTCATCCATTGGCTTTCCAAACAAGATGTTCTCTCTGACTGTAGCATTAAGGATCCATGGCGACTGTGCCGCGAATGCAACTTCGCCTTGCAAACTGATATTTCCCTTGGCCAAAAAGGTCTCATTGAGGACAGCCGAACAAAGAGTACTTTTTCCACTTGCCACTCGGCCAACAACTGCACAAAGCTCACCGTGACCAATGGTGAGGTTGAGATTCTTCAACGCTGCCTTAGGGTATTGTAGAACATTCTCATCGTCGGAAAGCGCCTTTCCAGTATCATCCCTGGCCGTGGCCGTGGATACGGAAGCATCGTCGTCTAAAGGTGCTCCAAGACTCTTCTCGGTAGTATCGTCGGCCCCCGATTCGTTTCGATTCCCAGTGGATGCCAAAGGAACTTCTGGGTCACCCCAGTAGACTTCGGCGTCCTTGATCGTCACGCCTCCTTTGCTGCATCGCTCTCGATTGTATGTTCCATTTCCAGTAGCGCCGTTAAGAGCAATCTCACCCATGCTGAGAAAGATTTCCAATCTGGCAGCACTCACTTGCGCCTGTACTAGCTGTGCAAGCGCCATAGGATAGAACATGAGTGGGAAACGAAGTTGATCAAATGCAACAATGGAGGCGAACAATTTTGAGGCAGAAATGTCAGCATCTTCCGTAAGCGAGTATACCAAGAAGGAAACCACAGCCACCACTCCGGGTAAAGCTCCCATGTAAGCACGTGAGAAACCCTTTAGGTACGCAGCAGATTTCAAATGTTTCAACTCTTCATTGCGGTAACCTTCAATGCGCTTCAGGACATTTGCTTCCCATGTGTACATTTTCACTCCCTGGATGCCTTGCAAGGCCTCGTTGACAGATTCCACCCTGGCATCTGTGTGCTTGACGATAAGTCTATTCATTCCAAAGAGCTTCTTCATGACCACTCCCTGCACTGGACCCGCCAAGATCATCACCAAAAGACCAGCAAAGCATGCGGGTCCGATCAAGAAATAAAGAATACTCATGTAACTGTAATATGGAGGGTGCGGAACAGAAGGAGAAAGTCACTACAACGTTAGAACATCGTTTCGACCAAGAAAATGAAAAAAAGCGATGCCTGCAATTTAACTTGAACTTACCCGATAATCTGAAACATGCCATCCCATAGAACATGAATTTGTGGAATGAATACTTCAATCTTTGAGGCATCGACTTGCATGAGATTGACAAGCTCTCCCAAAGTGGTTGTTTGGCGTTCGACATTACTCAATCTCAAACTTTTGTTGTAGACAGCGATCGAAATCGCAGATTTGACATGGAAGGAACCACGGTTGACAATATGAAAGTAGTTGTTCTCAGTCAAGGCCTTGCTGCCCATGGCGACAAACAGTACTGCAGCCAACCAGTATCCCCGATACTTGATATGCCATGGTTCCGTGTCCGGAATCAATCCCTTTTGATAATCTTCAATAAACTCCAAAATCCCATTCAGCAGAAGAGGAAAGCCAAACTGTAATGCCGTGTTGACTGAAGCAGGAAGCAAGAACATTAGAACATGGGAATCATTTTCGACATGACACTCACAGACGATGTGGTCAGCATATCAGACCTACAGTACATTACGTACCAGCTTTGATAAAACCTGCAAAGACAAATCTCCATCCCAGAATATGCGCAATGGTCTTCTTAAGTTTTGGTGCTCCAGCCTTGATATCTTCGTCATTAGTCAATTTCTTTCCGCTTCCGCCTGTCGCAGCGTCGCTATTGTCCCAGGATTCTTCAAATTTCTTAATAATCACCTCTCCTCGATCTCTTGGAGGTAAGGGCAACAGATCTTCTTGTTGCAATCCCTCACCCCTCTTGAACATGACGGACGCTCGCTTGAAGAGTTTATTCTGCCACAAGAATAGAATTCTGCTGATTAGCCAAGCTTCATCTTCTGGACTTCCGTCGTATGTGAACGACCGTTCATCTTCGTCAGTGTCGTTGTCCTTTATGACGCCGTTCATAACTTTCATGAGCAGTTATTTACTTGTATGCTTGTGTGCGTTGTACTGCTTTGCTTCTTTGATGCTTGTGCACGTGTACGACAATTATCTAATGCTGTATTGCAATGGCTTCTGCTTCTGTGCATCAGTGGTTGATTTGTGATTTGTGACTTTTTGATTGGTTTTGAGACCGGATTTTTGTTCGGAACAATATTGAACATCTTCGAAGAGCTTCACTCCATCATTCTTGTCTTGCTGCGTCCTTACGTGCGTACGTGTACGTGTACGGTACCAGTAAGCGAATGAGTCAGTGAGTCAGTCCGACAAAAATTGCTCCTGAAGGGGTAATCGAACTGCAAAATTGCGAAAGATACAGCTACTACAGCATAATAATAGTGCCGCCTGTCCAGAAAGCTCCTCATGAACGAATGCACTGTATGGAACCTGTTGAAGTGTGCCCGTCTGAACAAGGTCCTACCGGTATTCTTGACTTGACTTTATTCATTCTTCTCTTCTCTTCATTCCATCCAAACTAGTAGCCAGGAGGAGGAGCCTACTACTAGTATCTACAGCAGTACGATATATCCAGATGATCTCTTTCTTGTTGACGAGGAGTGGTGAGGCAGTGAGTCAGTTGTTGAGTGTACTAGCTATTGTTGGCTAGTTGGCTAACCTGACTGTATATTTGGCTCATCGCAAATCTAATCTCTTTGCAAGCTCGATTTGCGATACGGACTTCATGTCTCCACCACAAAGCTCCAAGACTGAACGAATAAGCAAGCACAAGCAAGCAAGAGCAAAACATTGGGTAAGTCAGTAAGTCAGTCAATCACTCGATACAGCAAACTCATGCAGTACCAGCAAGTACTATAATACAAGTAATCCTGGCAGTCGGTATCAATCGATCATTGATTGATTGATTGAAATTCAATCAATCAATCACTTGACCGCGCACGCACAAGCACCGCCAAAACCAAATACAACGAAGCAAAGAAAAACAAAATAAAATAATAAACCACGGTACATACCTTCATGCCACAATGGTTTTGGTAGACCTAGACATTGTTTCAATGCCAGACTTCGATTGCAAGCGATTGCCTTGTAAGCAGCTTGATCAATTTTAGCTTTCAAAGAGTGACCATCCTCAAAGACTTTGCGTCCCAAGAAGAATCGAAAGTCCAATGGTTGGTACTTGCCGTCCAAAACACCTTGGACTGCTGCTTTCAAACCGCCAATGTAGATCCCCGTCCCAGGTGCCAGCTCAGATGCCCCCTCCAAAGTATCAATTCCATGCACCAATAGAGCAGGTTCCGCTTGCAGATCAGGACCACCCATGTAGACAGCCGCCTGTCCGAAGGCTTGAATGAATGTATCAATGAATCCAAATGGCAATTCTTCGTTTTCTTGTTTATCGGAAATGCTGGAAGTAGCTGCCGTGGAGGCTGTAGGTTGGCCTTCCAATAATAGTTTGGCCAAACCCTTGTTGACATTTTGGGTAATGGGTCTATTGATGACCACCCCTTGAGTGGATCCGAGCATGAGACATACTTCTTGCCATGTTTGTTTGTAGTCTAGGTACATTTCCAACAATTCTCTGGAATCTTCTGGCAAATCATTTGGATTGAGAATCCCATTCTTTCCCGCATTTGCAGTAATGATTTCTAGTTCTCTCGCCAACATGCGTTCCGCCATTGGGAACCAGTGTTCCATTTGTGATTTGGGAGGTCCCATGGTGTCAATACTGAGTAGAGTATCGAGCTTTTCCTTCCAAAAGCCAGTTCCCCAATACAATTCTCCTTCAATGGGCATACGACAGATCAATCCTCCAACTTCAGGTTCCGCAATCAAATGAGCCCAGGCTTCCTTTTTGTATTCTTTGGCCAATTCGGCATTTTGTTGTTCCAAAAGGCGTTCGTTTTCTTCGGCTACCGTTTTTCGTTTGAGCTTGGATTCTTTGTCCTTCAAAGCACTTGAATCGTCTTTTCCATTGCCATTCTCTTTGCCATTACCATTATCACTATTATCACTATTATCACCATTATCACCATTATCTGTATTGCCAATAACATTCTGAGTCTCAGTCTCACTAGCTTCAGCAGCTTCAGCTTCTTTGGCAATCAAGGACGCTCGAAATTTTCTCCAATCTTCCAATCCAAATTGACTGCTGTCGACATCTCTATCGTCTCCATTAGGACTATTGCTGGAAGAATAGAGTGCGAATGGATATTTCCTATGTTGCTGTTGTGTATGTCTTTGCTGTCTCGACATGGACAACGAGTTTCTCGATGGAACCAACAGAAACGGAAACGGAAACGCAAAGGCAAAAGCAAACGCAGTTGCCATTCTCAATTGACTCAAAACGATAGCAGCATTGACAATGAACAACAATGATAGCCTTATTCTTGGTAGCACAAGGAGAAGGGTGGGAGCCTGTTGCCGTTGTTGTTGTTGTTGTTGTTGTTGTCGTCGCATGGTGACATCAATATGATTGATTTTTGATTTTTATTCCAGTCCTGGTCCTTTTACCTTTTACCTACTACCTACTACCTACTACTTGCTCGCTTGTTTGTCAGTCAGTATTTATATTATACAATACCTATGATATCAAGACAAGATGAGAACATTGATGTGCATGGAACGCATTGGCGATAGTGACGTCGTCCTGTGTCGTCAATTCGATTGATTCATTCGTCGATCGATTGGATTCTTTTCGAAAATGAAACTGTGAATTCTTCCAACAAAATTCCGATATCTTGGACTACAGTAGTCACCCACCCACGCACTTTTTTAGTAACCAGCATTGGACTTGAAGGACTGCTTCTATACAATATATTTTGAATTTGAAACTTCAGCTACCTATGTATTGTATATATCTGGCACAAATACCGTACCAGGTACACGTGTACCTGGTGGTACCTGGTACACCGTATGACTAGAACACATCCGCGCGCGTAAATAGATACCAGAGTATACACCACGTGTCGTCAGCCGGCTCGAACCGACGACGTAGCCCACCCAAGTAGCAAAGTACCGGTATCTGTGTGCAACCGTTCAATCAGATCTTGCCACGAAGCCGATGACCTTTGGAAGTTCTCGCCTTTGTAAGTGAAGCAGTCCTTGAAGCGTTTTTCTAATTATAGTCCAAATGACGTTGCCTAACCAAACCGATAAGCATACGTGTCGCAAACCAAAATTCGGCTTACAACTTCACAAAATCAATGGGAGGTTTCTCGGTTCGAACACTAAACTCTGGTATCTGATCGTACCGCTACCTGCCGTACCTGTACCAATACCCAATACCTGTTGCTGTATTCATTCGATATCGACTTCTCATCTCCTTTCGCAGATCGCAGAAGCAACAGCTACAAGTACACCAACACCCATCAGTACAGGTAGAATAAATACAGTGAAGCAGCATCACATGACGATGTCTTCTCCAACCATGATGGTGACTCCCTCGTCTGTAGACGTTCCTGTGAATATCCCTGCAGTGACCAAGCGAACAGGTCCGCAACACGAGATTTCGGAGCGATCCGCGTTTGCTGGTACTATCACTACAGACGCGGAAAGTCTCTCCTTATCCAGCGTAGGATCCGAATCGGAGATGCATCATATGGATCGATTGGGTGAGGGTCCGGAAGGAGCTGAAGCAACGGAAGCCATTCAAGCAAGCACCAGTGAACTGGAAGTACCTGATACAGCTTGTCCCTCTTCCAGCGGTGGTTCTTCCTCTCCCCCCACGCTTCCCACCTCTCCCACTCTGCCATTGTCTTTGCCATGTTCAATTCTCAAGTGCCGCAACAGCGATCGTGCTTCCATTAAGGACACCAAACGCGCGTGGAAGTGCTTACCCAAGCCTGACTTGGATATCATTATTGGAAATGCCTCTTCTTCCACAACTGAGAGTTCCAATACAGCCAATACAGCGAGTACAGCGTTGAACGATGACTCTCCTCGCAAGGGTTTGGAATGGGGAGTCGTTCAGATTCGAAACTATGCCCAAACGATTGGTGATAATCCATCGGTATCGTATGGAACACCAATTCAGCTGGACTGGGACTACGAAGAGAACGATGCCGTTCAACTGTTGGAATACGAAACGAATAGGGGCACAAGGCGTACGCTCAGACAAATGGTCTTGAGCTACTATCATCGCAAGAATGTACTTTCGTGGCAGTACGGACACACGGAGGCTGACATTAAGGCTGCAAAGAAGGAGGCTAGCCGAACCAAGTTTAAGCGAGAAATTACTTGCGGGCTCTTGATGGCAATGCCCGTGGAAGCTGCCGTGGAGAGTGCACGGCGGAAAACCAAACGATACTTTCACAAGAAGGAAAACAAACAGGGATAAGTACATGTACGGTGCAGTGCAGTGCACGGTACTGTATATGTACTTTGCTTCTATTTGTATTTTTGGATACAGACAGACAGACAAACATACAGACAGCATTGTAGGCTGCATTGCTGGCACACAGGAATGCAAGTCTACAGTGTTGTACCGGTACTGTCGACATTTTATATATATACCAGACATGGTCTAGATTTTGATTAAATATTAAACATGGGGTTACACAATTTCAATTTGAATCAAATATACACATATATTATGCTAAGACTATGCATTATGCTCTACTATACAATACTATCTATAGTACTTGTATCTGATGATGATAAAAGATACATACTGTAATATATAGAATATGCTTGTTTTCATGTTTGATACGAGCGCAAGCTACTGTACATGCCAGCCAGTTGGTGCCTATAGCATGTACAGTAGTTACAGTAGCATTTAGAAGCTTACCATGTATTGTAAGCAGTCAGAGACAACAACTTTTATACAACAACAACAACAACAACAGTACAAATATTTCAATGACACTACGATATATTAACACGCCATTGTTTGATTTTATTAACCCCTCCCCCTCGAGGCAGTCCTCTGTGCACTGTGTGACTGACTCATTTAACTCAACCGGATCGATTAGCAGGTCCATTTTACATTTTATATTTCACGCTCGACATTGGACATTGGACATTAGACATTAGACATCACTGTTTTCACTCTCCTCCGCATGTCCAGCCAAGTGGAGATTGGTTTCGGCCCAATCATCCCTTCCTACCTTGGGATTGTTCGTGTTCATGCTGCTTCGCAAATTCCAATTGTTGCCATTCTTGCCATGGCTATTCTTGCCCACCTTGGATGATGACACTGACAATGATGATGATGATGATGCCTCAACCTTGCCTGCTGCTGGTTTGGAAAAGGAAGTTCTCCACGATGGCCGACTGACACTACCACCACCAAAGCCTCCCGACAACCAACTGACCCGACTTCCCACACTCGCTCCATCATCATCATTAAAGGATACTTCCTCTGGAATACTGGAGCGCTTGGGCATGTAAGACTCCAACCAACTGCTGCGCTGGTTCTTTTGAGCATAAAAGATGAGGGACTCTTGGATCTCTCGACTGTGACGGAGAGCTTCTTCGTCTATCTCAATGTCGGGATTGTCGTTGGCTTGTTGCAACAATATTGCCTGCTGTATTTGTTTTTGGATGTGTAGTGGAATTGGCGGGGGAATCGCTGCTGCAGCAGCTGCTGCTTCTCCGCCCTCGCCTCGTTCACCTTCCTCGCCCGAGGCAGGTGCGTTCATTGCCAGGAAGAGGGATGACCGTAGAGCCTCTTGAATCTTGGCCCCTTGTTCGATAATACTGTTCTGTATCATGAGGCTGGCATTTTCGGACTGCAATCCATCCGGAAGTCTCATGTTTTCGGCCAAGATGGCTTCCCGTCGCTGCTTCTCTACTTCTTCCATTTCCAGAAAGCGCTGCCTTTCAACCTCCCTTCGTTTCATGTCTATAAAGAGCTCCTGTGCTTCCTTTTGACGTCGAATATCATCTTCGTCTACACTGGAGTCCATGGCACGAAGGTGCGTCATTACAATATGTTCTTGTTGTCGCTTTTCCGCCTCGACGGAACTGACAAATACCATAAGGGTGGTCTGTACAATTTTCTCCCACAATGGTAATCTCATTTTGGCATCTTTCTCGCTCCTTTGGCGTTCCTTCTCTGTGCGAACCGATTCAGCCTCTTCTTTTTTGGTACTGATGAACATGTCTTGGGTTTGCTTGTAATTCTGGTATTCTTCCTCACTAAAGGTACTGTCTGTCTCCTTTAATTGTTGCAACATGAACGCTTCTTGTCGTTTCTTTTCTTCTGCCAGAGGATCTTTCCATATTCTGCGTATCATGGCCCATTTGGAATGTTGGTGAGTCTGGTCAGTTTTGCCAGTTTTGCCAGAGTTGGTGGCATCTTTCGTCGTTCCAGCATCAGCTCTTTCTTTCGCGTCTTGCTCTGCCTTTCGTTTCTGTTCATCTTTTGTCAAGGGCAGCGATGACGATGATGATGACGATGATTCAGCCTGTAGTTTCCCGGTTGAAATAGATTGTGCTACCAGATCTAAATCGACCATATCCTTGGCTGCCAACGAGGAAGGTTTGGTTGCTTCCGAATGCAATTCATGGTTTTCTTCGTCTTGTTGTTGTTGTTGCTGCTGCTGTTGAGAACGCTGCTTTGGATCTATATCCATTTCATCATCGGATAAATCGATGCGATTATCCTTGCTTCTAGTTCGTCGACGAGAACTATAGGTACCAGCAAGGGTGCTTTTGGGCTTGGGCTTGGGTTTGGGAGAGGTACGTCTGGATCTCGCCATCCTAGTTGGGTTATTGGAGGAATGAGAATCACCATTTGCTTCCTTGGTGTTTCCATTGACACTTTCAAAGGCTTTCAGTCGTTCCGAAACAGATGCCATGTTGGATTGTGGTGCCAGTACTGTGGGAGTTCAGCTGTACTAATATTGAATATGTATTATATTATTACCGGTAGGTTGATTTCTTCAGTTCACAACCCACTTCACTCGTGATGTATTTTATTATTTTTGACAGCAGACAGGCACAGGACACAGAACATTTTCAATTTGCAACCCGGAGTTGCTGAATGAATCAATCTACCGTATTGATTTTTTACTGATTGATGATTGATTGATTCGAACCATTTAGTCAAAGGAATCATAGATTTGGAGAAGAAGAACCTATTCGCTTCGTTTTCGGCTTTCTTTTCCCCCGCGCACATCATTTTCTGCGGAGTGGAACAAACAGACGTATTGAAGTAGAAGAAAGGTTTTGTTGTCGACTCATTTTTGCATCCATACAGTTGCAATTTGCAATAGACACCTACAACCACAAGCCTATCCTACACCCAAATCACTGCTATCATAACAATGAGAATAAGCAGCCAGCAAGCATATGCTGGTGGTGTTTTCGTTGGTGTTATGAGAATGATTGGAACGGTTTTCAAAGTCTTGCTTTGTTTCTTCGCCATTTATCGATTGCTGGCTTGGCCTCCACTCCATTGGTTTTACGATCCAGTCTCACATGCTGGTCCTGGTACGATATACATTCCTGGTACGTCATCATGGTCGTTCTCCTCGCCTACTACTAGTACTACTGCTACTACTACTACTCGTCCTCGTCCTCATCGTGGTCTCACATCATTATTGTCATGGTTTAGGAGGTGGATTCAGTGGCTTTTGGTTTCACCTTGGATACTTGCAGTCCATGAAAGATTTACATGAATATGAGTACTATTGCTTTTCTTCTGCTTGCCTAGGTACGCAACCACCGTGCAACTTTCAACAAGTTCTTCGCCATTCAGCAGCATATCTAAACTGTATAATCTATCTGAATCTGAATCTGAATCTGAAACACTACAGGCATTCTAGCCGTCTTGATGGACCACACAGCAGATGATGTAATGGATGCCGCCCTCCTTGCGCAAGAAAGGTGGCAAGACAACCACATCTCTCGCTTTGACTTGGTCGAAAACTTTTTGGAAACCTTGGTGCCCACCAGTGATGATGATTCCCATGACCAAGAACAACTCCAACAAATATTGTCAAAGATTAAGATATTAGTCACTACCACCGAGAATGGAGTGGAAGTATTACAAGCTACCAATCGAGACGAGTTGCTTGACCTAATGATTAAGACAACATGGGTTCCAGCGTTGACGGGATGGGGGTTCTTGACTGACCACAAAGACGTTTACCTGGACGGTGGCTTTTCGAGATATTTGCACCCAGACTGCGAATATGTCCTCGAATTACCAATGGTATGGGAAACACTGGTGCATACCTTTACTCCCAGTCTGACCCGAGAAACCATTCGGGAACTCTGGAATGTTGGATATGAATACGAGTATGGATTTCAAGGACTTTCCAAGCAAGCAAAAGAAGGGTTTCTGATCACTAACGACGACGACGACGAGGAGATATATCTTCAACGAGAACGCAATGATACACAACACAATGATACTTCTTGCCGTTCGGAAACTATGGACTCTGTACAATCGTCAAGTTTACTGCAAATGATACAGTGAATGAATCAATCAATCATCGCTTTCAATTTACACCGATATCAACATGTCAACATGTCAACAATAAAATATATATACTATTTCACTATATACTGTTTTCATCATGACTTCACTGTTCATTTCGTCGCCGTTCCGTTTCGTTCCGTATCATTGTATCTAATCGGCCCTTGACCTTGGTAAAAGTGTCCCAGACGCACTCATTGTGCCGTCGAATCATGGGCAACCTGGGGTGCAAAGACATGTCTTGTCCATCAATGCGCGTCCTCAGCAATTCCAACTCGCGCAAAACACCATCTACGTGCAGTTTGAGAGAGGTGCAGGTTTCCAAGAGGTATTGCCGCTGTATCTCCACCTTGGTGCCCTGATCTCCTGACATGTGTGCCTGATAAAAGGTTTCCTGGACATTGGGCAACTTTTCCAACAAATTGTATAACACAACATCGAAGCATTCTTCGCTTATCCCACCATCTGCCGTGTAAAATACCATTCTAGCAGTATCGTATCCGACGTCAACGAGCTTTTTGGAGGGATTCCGTGCCAAGATTTTGCAATAGGTTGCAGGTGGCGACTCGTCAAAGAATCCAAAGGTGGCAACTAGACGTGCGGGATTCGTTGGCATCCCATACGACATGCGTAGGGGTTGACCTGCCTGCACATCTTCCTTTAATCGAACAACGCAATTTTGGTTGTCGTCGTACCTGTCACAAGTATAATGTAAATGTTTGTAAGAACTTGTTTGATATGCAATGTGCAGAGATACACTGTATACGGTATGAAGTACTCACTCCACTACGATGTTGCTTGGCCAAGCATGATCAAACATGTCAGCCATGGGCACAATGTCACAGCGATCCTCATCCAGACCCCAACATCGAGTATACACACAATTGAATGCCCACTTGAGCAAGTCTATGTCTTGGAGAGTTTCGTCCTTCTGCAGGATGTTGACAGTTTGTAGTGCTTCGAGAAAGACTGAAAAGTGGATCCGATCCATCATGCTCAAGGAATATAGAAAGGGCGGCAGACAAGAAATCTCAAAATCGTCCATGGACACGGCTGTGTAAAAATTTCGAGGTAATGAATTCATCCAGGCATACCAGTACGATTGGTCTTCTTTCTCATATTCTAGGAGCATCTTACAAAAGAGTAAGAACTGTCCCCTCTGATGGCCAATCCCCTTGTTTTCCAAATACTGTAGCGCAGGCTTTATGCTGTCCCCTAGTTCTTGACGCACCACCACTGATGACAAGATTATATGAGCTGGTACCTGTATCACTGCATGGTCCTTTGGCATGGCTTGAATGGCTTGGGCGGCCCAGTTTTGATTGTCATTGTTGTGCCCATAACTTGCAAAAGTCGGCTCCAAACCAAATCCTTCGCTCCCCACAATCCCAAAGTGCGCCGCCCAATCCCCTAGCAAGCTAAGGTCTCTCTCTGTCCCTTCGACCACAGAAATAGCTGATTGCCGCTGTGTGAGATATTGTTGTCGTGACGATGACGCTTTTGGTATTGAGGATGTCATCGCTGTGGTCGGCCTGATGCTGGTGCAAGGATGACAAAGAAGAGCCGAACACGTCATTGTTGTCACTGCTGTCATCAAAGCTAACCGTAGAATCGTCATCTTGAACCCAAATACATGAGAAGAGGAGGGCTTTGGCATAAGAAGACTTCAATTGCAAGATGTTGTTGAAGATCATGGAAACCATTATCAGAGAGTCTGCCTACGACGTGTCTTGCTGACGTGTCACTTCAAATTTCAAAAAATATGGCAGAAAAACAAACAGTATCCTACTGTATTAAAATACATGTACCGGTAGCATACGGTTGGTCTATTATTCTTGTGTTTGTTGACAGTATTATTTTAAAATATGATATATGCAAGTAATCTATAATCTGCTGTACAACGCCACTCTCGAGATAATCGACATTGGCATCCTGCGCTGATTTCGTATTGACAGAGCAACAAAGAGGCTTGTTCGTCGTTGGTGTCATAATTCCTGAATCCACCGACAGCCGAGATGGCAAAGAAGGTGAACGATCATGGTTGTGTAATGTGTATGCATAGAATATGAATTTTCTGGCAGTGGAAGTGGAGCGAGATTGTTACCGTCCGGAATCTCAAATGTCATCTTCTGAAATTGATGATGAGGATACTGTAGTCACGGTTCGCTCTGATTCGCCCAACATTTTCTGCCTTCTCGAAGGAGATACTAGTTGTACCGGCGCTGGTTCACTTGCAATGAGACTACCGGTACTTGATGAAGCACCATCTTCATCCATTGCAACGCCATCTTCGGCTTCTGATTGGTCGCGGTCGTCTTCACTCTCATCTTCCTCCTCTTCCGAGTCCGTATCTTCCATTTGATCTTGAACACGGCGAAGCAAACGAAATATGGAGACGTTATCTGACGCTCCAAATAGCATGGATATGGCGGCATCTTCCAGATTATCATTAACGTCCTCACCCAGCTGAACATGCAGACGAGACTTCCATCTTCTTGCCAAAAGCTGATAGACATCTCGTTCCCTTTGGGCGGTGTGATACCTGGCTTCTGCTTCTAGTCGAGCTCTGTTCGCCTTTTCAGCGTTTTCTCGTTCTTCCTTCAGCTGACGACGAAGAACTTCCACTTCTGACTCTGGTGTCTTGAACCCTAGAATACAATATAGTGTAGAAAGAAGACTGGGGTCAGACGCATTCGGACGATGAGCAAATGCACATGGTATGTTTTACATCAAACTTACAATCACGATGTGTGTAGGACATGACTTCCATCCATATGGCCTTTGGCAACATGGATGCAACATTGAGCTGTCGTGTCGGTTGCGGCGTGATTGGTTGTTCAAAGTCTGCATTGGAGCATAATAGCAACTCCTTGCAAGAACTGCGAAAGCTGTCGGGAAACTGGTTGTGAATGGATGGATTCCATACCCGTGCTGCGATGACTGTTTCAATGCTCGGGTATGCAATCAATGGGGCAAAGCGTACTCCAGAGATAACATATTGTGAGAACTCATTGTCAATGTTATGGCCAGAAGTGTGATTTCGAACAACTTTTAGAAGTTCGTCTTCCACAGGGCCAACTAGGATTCCGCCTGGTTTGAGTAGTTTCTGGAATTTATGTAGGTCTTCCGTTTCAATAGCGGCACCAATATAGATACGATCAAATCCAAGAACAGCTTCTCCCTCTTCTGCATCTATTTCAAGAGCATTACCATGGATGATTTCAATGTCAGAAATTGCCATTGCAGATTGGTGTCTCTCTTTCCAGCATTCCATTGCTCGAGTACTGTGTTGGATGACATCTTCATGAATTTCAACGCCTGAACAATATTCAACGAGAAGCAGCAAAGTGAGTAACAATCATCAGAGATTGATATGGTTTGGATATAAACTCACAGTAGTAGCTAGATCTCGGTCCCATAATAGAAGCTGCGAGGCATGTCAAGTACCCGCTGCCAGACCCAGCGTTCAGAAAGCTTCCTGATGTGTCTGCTTCCAACTCCAAGGCTTCTAATACACTGCAGTAAATATGTGGAGCGGACAAGTGAACATTCCCATCCTTGAGAGGTTGGTCAGAATATGCTCGTTGCTTGTCGCTCTGTAGAATGGGGAGAGAGCATCGATGTAAGGGACTTGTTTTTGAGAACAATCGTGTCACGGATCAGTCCGTCAGATAGAAACAGAAGAACGATAGGTTTACCTCTGGGACAAACAAACTTCGATCAACATTCCGGAAAGCATTTTCCACTGCGATGGATGAAATCAGTCCAAATCCTGTAGTTTTTAAGAATCACATGCATTGTTAGTCGCTAACATGCAGTTCGCAAGGCAAATGACACGTGTCCGGGTGAAACCATGGAACCTAGTATATAGTCCTTTCCGCACTCATCCTGAGGCAAACGCAAGATGCGAGCTGGATTGCTGCTTCTGTCGTAGCCAAGTATGATATGCATGGATTTTCAAGCGCTGAAAATCATTTGATGTTCCGAAGTGATGGTATGATCATGGTTCATAGAAACATGGCATCAGTTTTGCAATTCTCATATGTTACTCACGCTTCAGATTGTTCACCATTTCGTCGTTGGTCGAGCCACTACTTCTCCAGGCCATCTTGTGTTATGATTCCGATCGATTGGGATACGATCAAAGGCAGAGAAACAGAAAAAAGCACAAAGGATTATCCTTGATTCTTTGACAGACGAGAGGATGATTTCTTTCGTTTCAAAGCAAATTCTGCAAATCTTCTGACGATAGAATTTGTACGTACAAATGTACGACGGAAAGGTATCCACAAGAATTTCACATCCCAAAAAAATATCGCATCAATTCAATCAATCACCCACCAAGTTTGACTCGGGCGACTGTAAAGAACCAACCAATTGCAAATGGAGACTATTATAGTACTTGGCTTGAAAACAGTTAGGGCTGCAGAGATGAAGGCTGCAAAGCCACCACCAACGGATGGAGAAGGTTCGGAGGAAAACAAGCAAGGTGGGACACTTAGGGACGATAGCAATGCCTTTCGTGGTACTACTATAGTATAGAACTGTATTATTGGTAGATGGAACTATTGCTGCCGTCGTGCTTCTGATATCATCCACTACAGTAGGTTCGGCAAAACGATGCATTCTTACATTGCCGTATGGGTGTTTTATCACCGATCCTACAGTATAGTACGGTAGGTTTGTGGCTGTTAGACAGTAGAGTGCTTTCTACAGTAGTGGAGTGCAACTTAGAAAACGAACAAAAACCCACGCGCTTCTCGTGCTGAAAATTGAAAATATGGGATTGTCCGTCTCCCTTAAATGTAAAGTTTTCCACATTTATAGTGCATAAATGTTTACAAATTCAAAAATAGCGCAGAACCGTTTCTGAACGCCATATCTATTGCATTGTGCGACAAACACTTTTCTCCAACCCTACAGTACTGTTGCGACCCGCTCATATTCAATAGTCAACATACTTATATCAGGATACATCTTAGACCCACAACATTGTAAATAGAACTTGAAGCAATCATCACCAATCCCCAATCACCATGCCAAACTTACTCGACGGGGAAGATCCTGAAAAGCTCAATGGCGACCCTTTCGAATTGCTTAGCAGTCTTGCTTTCGAACAACCGACTCTGTCACGACCTCACGCTCCACTGTCGAGCACAGCCGTGCTATGTACAGGCAGCTGGGACATGCCTGCAACGAAGTCAACAAGTACTGGTACGCTTGACGAAGAAACACCATCACAAAGCAGCGAAGCTTCCGAGATTCACAAAGACGAGCCTGACGAAAGTTCTTCCAGGAGGACAAACATGACGTCAAAAGCACCTCGAAGTTCTCGATTTTCACTTCTTGGAGCTGTTTCTGTGAGATCATCCCAGCGAGCTCCTCGGCAAAAGGGATCTAGCTATTTAATCACAGCCAGTGATAGACAATTGGATGGCAATGTACCAGTACCAGTACCAGTACCGCCTACACAACCTCCCATGGATGATGATGCAGATGATGACGATGAAGAAGAAGTTATTCCAGGAGCTGAAGCCGTCGCCAGAGGTTCGGCAACTCTGCGACCTCTTCCCGCTGTACGAAAGGCATCCTCTGCCTCATCAGGAAAGCAACAGAGAAACGTTTCAGAGAGACCTGTTCGCATTTCCATGAGTGGAACAGAAATGTTCACAGAGTTGTCAGATGAACTTGTGGAGGCAGAACCAGTTAAGACCGAAGAAGAACTCATGACAGAAATCAGGATAGATACCGAAAAGAAGTACGAAGGGAATGCTCGCCGTAGCAAACTTCTAGTAGCCGAGGAGATAGATCTGGAAAGTGCTGAAGATTCGAGGAAACAACGAAGATTCAAAGAAATGGAATCGAGATGTTTTACATCGCTCTGTTATTGCTTTTTCTTTATTCCTGTCCTCATTGTTGTTATCTTGACTGTCAAAAGAAACATAAGTGACGATACAGTTTTAACTACGGATAATCCTACAGCATCCCCCACCTTTACAGAGGTAGTCACACCGTTCACGTGCGAGGAAGCAGCTCCCCTGAACGGAAACTCCTCCATCGTGGGTTCTACAAGAGGTGCTCCTTCTCCAGGAGATGTTCCACTCTGTTCTGGTCTGGCATCGAATGGCTTTGGTGCGTGGTTCGAATTCGTTGGTGACGGAAACGTTGTCAACTGCACGACTTGCGATCCGAACACCAACTTTGATACGCAGCTCAGTGTTTTTACCGGATCCTGCTCAAAGCTACAGTGCATTGCCGCAAACGACCAAGGCAGTTCAGAGTCGTGCGGCAGCCAGTCAAAGGTGGAGTTCAGTACCAACCCCGGTGAGACTTATTTCATATTTGTTCATGGAAAACGGGAGGCAGAGGGACAGGTCGTTCTCAGCTTGAATCCTGTCATGCAAGACAATGATTCTTGTGGTTCAGCCGGTCCCGTTTTGCCGTCAGGTCTCAGTGAAATCATTGGAAATACATGGTTTGCGGCAACCAGCAAGACCGCCGACAATTTTACTTGCTCGGAATCGACGGTTCCAGGCCTATGGTATGCAATGGATGGAAAAGACGAGAACATGACCATCTCTACTTGTTCGGAAACAACCAAATACGATGGTGGCATTACTGTTGCAACCGGAGGATCGTGTAATGGTTTAACGTGTGTTTCTACCACCAGTGAAGATTGCATTTCACCCTTTCGAGGAGCGATAAAAACGTTTTTTGGCAATGCTGGCACTACCTATTACGTCAAGATTCATGGCAGTGAAGCTGCCCGTGCAGCGGCACTGTCGTCTCGACGGCTGCAAGATGGAGCAAGTCCCGCTGATGGACAGTTTGGTATGGTAGCTCGAGATGAAGTTGGCGCTTCTGGCTTCTTTGTTAATAGGCAAGAAGCCTGTGAAGCGAGCCAAGATGTCGAGATTGATGGCGAGCCAACCACAGGCACCCTATATCAAACATCGAACTTGCTGTGGGATTCGTTCTGCGAGGGAGACGGTCAAGGTGAATATTTGCGAGTCACGGGAACTGGCCTGAATCTCACCGCCAATACGTGCAACGACGACACGGCAATTGATACCACGTTGGCTGTACTGACTGGCGATTGCTTAAATCAACAAATGGAATGCATTGCGTCGAATGATCAATTCTGTGGAGACCAATCATCTGTAACTTGGTTTGCCGAAGAAGGGGTGACATACTACTTGTTGGTCCGATCCGTTGGAGCAATTCAAGGGAAATATACTGTTTCATTGAGCTCGTTAGTAGATATTATTGATCCAATACAACAGTGCGAGAGTGCTCGTATACGCGACGTACTTGGTGGAAGTATAGCTGCTTCACTAATTGGAGGGCAACCATTTCGATATGAACCCAAGCTGGCTGGAAGCTGTGGAACATCATCATATGACAAGAGCCCAGCAACCTGGTTCAAGTTGGATGACACTAGAGCAGGCACCAAACTTTTGCTTTCCGCGGAAGATTGCTACAATACAGCCCCTCTTGAGCTTACAGTCTTTAGCGGAAGTTGCGACGAGCTGATTTGTGTTGCAGGTTCTTCGGATTTTTGCAATGAAAATGTCGAATGGGAATGGGAAAATGGACTTCCGTACTATTTGATGTTCCACGGCCCTGATTCAATCGGCGCAACCTTTATATTCAGTGCAGACACAGTGATCTCATAGCTCTATCAGATTGCCTGCTGCTACAAAGTCGGGAATTTGCTACGAATATACAACATTAAGAAAACAGTTAGACCTTTCACTCTTTCCTGTTGAATGTATCATGTTTGCGGATAGATCATGCGGTCTGAAGCAAAAATTAAAAGCATGTCTGATGTTCCCGATATCCGTTCTAATATGGGCCATCTTTTGTCGAGGAAGCAAAAAAATTCGTGGAACTGTATTGTGTGTTCCGACTCAGATGATGTTGATTCTGTGTGACATGAAAAAAAGCGGGACAGATGAAGGCCATGCATGATGCGGTTGGATCTATTCTTTGAATCGTGACGTCGTCAGAACAGAATACACTAGCAGTAGATCATGCTCTCTTACTACATAAGGTACTAGAACAATGTTCATGAGACTATTGATTTTCCATCTAACTTCTATACTGGATGAATGAACCTTAATCTATCATTCTAATAAGCGCCGACCATATCCAAATCTTGAGTGGCCAAGATATCGTACACGCAACCCTTGCGGCTAAACTCATCTTCAAGTCTAGCACAAGCGGCTCCAGCTTGTACTTCGGAGACAGTATTCTCATCCAACCGACGCTTGCGTCGTCCCTGTGGATTTTCTGGGACCAAGCACTTCTCTGGGAACTGTGGCCGAGATGCAGCATGGAAGAAGTGTCCATCAGAAGGCAGGACTTGCCATTCGTTTCCAAGTTCGGTAAAGTCGTGCAATACAGTGCTTCCATCGCGAGCATACGTGTTGCCAGTGCGGAAGTCTCCAGTGATACCTATAGACTTTCCAAAAGAAGTCTCAGAGGCGCCAATAATCTTCACTCCAACAAATTCCTTGAAGGTTTTGATTTGAATCTCTTCTCCCGGGTACAGACTACCCAAATCAATTGTGTAGCGATCGGAGTTATGGTTGAGGGATACAGGGAAGCCAGATAAATCGGTCAATTCGCCCATGTGTTCGTAGTTAATCCAATAGCTGGCAGAGAAATCGGGCAGTCCTTCGATTTCAAGAATGTCATTGCCAATGCGAACGACAGCCTTTTCAATGTAACTCCAGAATCGAACAATCTTGGTGCGGATATGAATATCAATACCAAGGCCGTTGGAAAAGTCCTTGTCAGAAATCATGACAATATCGCACTGTCCGTGGAATTCAAAGTGCTCATTCTTCCATGTCTTGACTATATAGACAAAGAGAAGGTCAGATGTGAGAAAGTGGTGTGTCAGAACCTTGATGGTGCCAATCTTCATTACTTACAGTGTGGATCACCATTCACCTCGGTTTCTGGCTTATCGTCTTTTGCAACTGGAGACGAGGTAGGGCCGGATGTAGGACCAGACGTTGGTCCACTCGTTGGACCTGATGTGGGGCCAGATGTTGGCCCACTTGTGGGGCCAGCGGTTGGTACGGAAGTAGGTTGACTCGTAGGCCCGGAGGTAGGTGGAGAAGTTGGTCCCGATGTTGGTCCAGAAGTAGGTGGAGAAGTTGGTCCGGATGTGGGTCCAGAAGTAGGGCCAGTTGTAGGCCCAGATGTTGGTCCAGAAGTAGGTCCACTCGTTGGACCCGATGTGGGCCCACTTGTAGGCCCGTAGGCGGGTGGAAAAGTTGGTCCCGATGTTGGTCCAGAAGTAGGTGGAGAAGTTGGTCCGGATGTGGGTCCCGATGTTGGTCCAGTTGTGGGTACAGAAGTAGGGCCAGATGTTGGTTCACTTGTCGGTTCAGATGTTGGCCGGAATGTTGGCGCAGAGCTAGGTCCACTTGTTGGGTGCGAAGTTAGCACGGATGTCGGTCCTGTTGTGGGGCCACTTGTTGGTTCATTAGCATAGTCCGATATGACATCGTCACCCTTTTCTTTTTCCAGGTACACTTCGACAGCCTCTAACCCGAAAGTAACTGCTTCGATGAGACATCCGACAAGGGGCATATCTTCGCCTTCGGGGGTACACGCAGCGATCTCTTCTGGGGTGGCGTCGTCTAGAGCATCCTCAATAGTGTTATCGTAAGGCAACGTACAATTGTCGAAGAATTTAAAGTCGTAATCCCCATCATAGGTGAAGTGTGAATCGCCGGCATCTTCCAGACACCATCCTTGGGAATAATTGTACGCCTTGCCAAGTCGTCTGTCAGTCTCGTTTCTGGGAATTGCGACTGCGGTCCCGTTGGTATCCATCCAGTCGTCAATCCACTGTCCATTTGGACTACCAAGGATACCAACTAGAGTATCGTTGCACCGGCAATCGGCCAAAAGATAATTTACGTCGAAGAGGCAATGATTCTTCCATAGTCGCACCCGAACTTCAAGTCGCAAACGAGTTAGCGGGTACTCAACGTATACGTTGTGGCCTGAAACTTGGACACTTGCATCTTCCGTTCCAGTTCCATCCATTATATTCTTGTATTGGTTGTCCACAAACAGCTGGACGGGGCAGGTCGCAATTTCCACAGAATCTTGAATTGAATTGGGTTGTGCGATTGACAGCTGTACAACAGGAAGATTGTGGATACTGTTTTCGTGCACAACAACAGCAGTGGTGATGGCAGGACTTTGACCTGGCCCTACAATCTCCGTTCGAGCCTGGATCTCAAAATCGTTTTGTAACGACTTGAGGAAAGTTAGCTCTCCTTGGACGTGAACGTCGTACTTTTAATGAGACAATGAAGTTAGTCATAGGATCTCGACTTGGAAACAGAAATTTTTCGTCCTTCACATACCTTTACCCCATCAAACGTTTCGATGTGAGCTATAGAATTTTAAAGAGAAAACGACTAGTCAGTACAAATGCGAATGCAGAAGCAAAAACAATCACGAAATAGTCGACTTACGATCGCCCCATCCTCGTGCTACACACATCTCGCAAGGGTCGTCTGGATTTCGACTCTGGACTGTCAATAGAAGAAAAAAATATTGATCAGCAAATGAGCAAAGTGAAGATGAGCACATGTCAACGTGATCCATGCAACTTACCAGACAAATCGACCACGGTACCAATGAATCCTCTGTCGACAGTATCTATTGGGAGAATGAGGGAGAAGAAAGACAAAAGTCAGTCTTGCAAATGGGGTCATTGACTTCGATCTGAGCGGCAGTGCACGTACAGCTTCCTCTTGGTGCGACGGGACTAGGTGGTGGTCCATCACAATTGATTGTAATCCAATCGCCCCCTGGCAAATCAATCCCTCTGCTTGAAGAGCTCCGGAATGAAAAATCATATGTATTCATTGCATCATTGAAGAAATCGTCGTAGACCACCCTTTATATGAATTGAGATTGAGATCATCGATTATGCGACGAATTGTTTCGAGCAGACAGGTCACTTACAGTAGGTCCTGAGTGTTATCCGGAGTAGTGTAGAACACACCAACTACCTCCCTACATTCGAACGTTCAACAATGAGCCCACAGACTTGTCCGTCATCTAAACCGAGCAGACAAATCACTTACTGGTTGGGAAACTCGACACTGTAACTGTAATCCGTAGACACCGTGGCGTACCCTTGAATCATGTACGAACTGTATCCAACGCCTTGGGCAATCTCGTAGCGAGTTTCATCGTCATTTGTTCTGTAGATGCAACGATCGTTTGTGCTCAGAATGTCAGCATAAACACCATCAAAAGGAATACTAAAGTCTTGCTTTTCAGGCCAAACAAAGAACCCATCAAGTTCAGCCCTCGCACAGCATTCGGCCGGTGGCGCAACAAAGGCATTGGGATCCACAGTCATAGTTCCAGATGAATTGTTCAGGGCAATTGGCGGAGGAATAGGTGCAAGAAATCCTGGCTTCCTTCTTGTGAGAATGCGCACTTGCTTTGGGCCAGTCCCAACAGCCATTTTTACAGAGACCCTCTCTCCCACTCGCGTGACTGCTGAATTATCAGAGTAACGATGCTATAAGGAATGGAACGAAACAAAGAGCACTCATAACAGCGATTGGTCGACTTACGTGGCGGTGGCACTTGGGATTCGACACAGCTGGTGTCTTCATCCGGTGCTTCGTCGCAGTTGATCTTAAACCATGCGTCACCTCCCAGAACCATACCAATGTTCGTGGGACTGAATCCAGGTTCAAACTGGTTGTTGCCTTCATATAGGGTCCCAACTTCGAAAACGCTATCAGTTGGTCTCCTGTGGATCAACAACACTGTCAGAATTATTGCATATCCAGGCAACCTAACGAATACCAGACAAATAAAAATATATGTTACTCACAACAGGCTCAGAGTCTTGGAAGTATCAGTAGTAAAGACAATTCCAATAACATCTTGGCTGCAAAAAAAGGGAGTGGGGAATCAATAATGAGAATGACATCAATTTCCAAAGGGACAAGTCGAGGGCTAGTCAATGAAGGGTGGCGACTTACTTTGGGAATTGGACAATATTCTGGTAGACAGAATATTCATTTGAAGCTGGAAAAGCCTGTGCCATGTAAGCGTTGTAGGTCTCTCCGTATGGCAGCGCGAATTTCGTGGAATCTTGATACTTGATCACATGACATCGATCACTATCATGCCACATGTCAATGTAAACGTCGGAGCTAATGGTAACATCCTGAGCTTCCGGCCAGATCTTGAATCCATCCAAATAGTCTTTTCGTCCTATATTAAATTTGTTCAGCATGGGCGTTGACAAGAGTGCGTCTGTCTCAAAGATTGGACAGATTCCAGGAGCAGACAAGGACCAAACCTTTGGAATGTCAGTTGCTGCTGAATATCCAGGCCGTGGCTTGGTGATAATGCGGGCTTGACGTAGATTGAATTCTGCTGCGATACTCAATGTGACGGTTTGGCCATTGGCTCCGACAGCTGGAACAGTCGGATATGATGAAAACTGAGAACCAGTCGGGTATGGGATGCCCAATTAAGCGTACACATCTGTACTTACCAGAAGAAATGCGAGGTTGAGCCTCTGGACAAGAATCGGTAGGCACCGAGTCTACGTTCACCTTAAACCACTCGTTGACCGAAAGGGTGAGTCCATTTGTTGTGGATTGTCCACTGTAAGCATTGCCCCCATTCAACCCGAAGACTGGGTTTGAAATACGAATATGATCCGAGTATGCCACACCAACAATTTCTTGGCTATATGAAGGGAGAAGTGCACGTGGCCAAAGTGAGACTGATGCTATCAACACAGGTCCAATCTGAAATGATACATTGCCTTGACGTACTTTGGAAAATCAACAAAGTATCTCGAGGTCGAAAAAGTGCCGCCCGAATCATGGATATTCAAAGCCTGAACCATGTAAGAGTTCATCTCTACTCCGTTTGGCAGTGGTACACTACTTCGGGGATCTGATGTTGCGGTGAAAGGTTGTCCATCACTAACGTAATCTACATTCACAACGGATGTAAGCGTCAATCCTTGTTGCTCGGGGATGATTTTGAAGCCACTGAGAAAACCTTTTCTTCCCCAATTCTCTGGTTGGTCAATAGGAGGAACGGGAATGACGTTCGGGTCAAAGATTGGGCAATAAAGATCAGCAGTTGCCATGTTCCAAGCCATTGGATTATCGACATCGGCCACATATCCAGAAAGGGGTCTTGTGAGGATACGAACACCCCTCGAACTAAACCCAGACGTCATCTGGATGGTGAAGGTGTCAGCTTGCACAGTTGCAACGACACTGTTCATCCACACAAATGTCGCAAGTAAGACCGAAGGCTTCATCATCGTGCAAATAGTGGATTTGATTTTGTAAATGATTTACTATCATATCAAAAATACCTACCATTTGATGATTGATCCGCCTGCATTGCCAAATTTTTTGTTGGTACTCAAATTTTTAGGGATTATATACGACTCGTTACATCATTAAGTACGAGTCACGAATCATCCATTCGTTAAATGGATGGTTGTCATTGTTCAATAAATATTATTTAAGCTACACGTGTCTCCAAACTCAGTAGATATCAAATCATCCAATTTTTTTTCTTTCCGAATTTTGATTTATGCCCCTTCATCCACCATATAAATGCAAAATAACACATGGCCAAGAATAGGTTCAAGGTAGATCGATCAACCTCACATATTCAATACGAGTACTGGTACTGTTGGTGCTGGAACACGTACCTCCACCCTTCTGAACGGACATTTCTTCTGAATCCGTATCTTTTGCTTTTCCAAATCGCCATTTTTAAGGCGCTTTTAACTTTACAGTTGGAGTCAAAATCCATCATTAGTATCCAAAGTGTACAGATACTAGGGCTTAGCGAGTATCATATTTTTTAATTTCCAATCCACAGTATTTAGGTCCTACGGTAGCATTCCAACGCATCAATTTTATATTCAGCTGCAGCTTCTGTGAGCGCTGTTGGCAACAGAAAATAACAACCGCAATGGCTTCCATGAGCCAGTTGCAACAGAAAGCAAGCAGCTACATCAACCCATAGCATCGGAGATGATAACAAACATCGAGAGCATCGGAAATATCAATGGCACTACTTCGGTTACCCCTGATAGTGGCTATGATTTCGGTGGTGCTGGTTACGATGGTGAGTTTGAGTCCGAGTCACTCAACTATTCTGACGACAATATCACACTCTCTATCGACACTCTTCGGAGTAGTTTTTCCTTGCCATTTCTCGAAGATGAGGTTCAAAGAAACCGACCAAAGATCTCTAAGGAATCTTTTGCTACATCTACTCGGGTTATGGAATCAATCAGCAGTAAAGAAAACGGTTCTTCAATCAGTAAAAACAGTACTCGCCATGTTGTTAAATCCCCTTTCTTAGAGAAACCACTCCCTATTCCCAACTTCAAATTCGATGCTAATTCTACTTCGACTCACGACGACGACGATGCTTGTAGTCTGCACAATCAAGCAACACAACTACCCTGTGAACGATTTGCGGACGACTCCTCCCGTGATAGCACACTCGAAAAGACGCCTTTGCGAAAACGCAAGTCTGATCATACGTACTTGGACCCTCGGCCGTTTCGACGGTCATCACGGAAAAGAAAACCTGTAGACTTTGGCAAACGGAACCTGGAGGTATCGTCATCTGATTCTGAAGACGAGCACCCCTCTAGCGAGAGAAGGGAACCCAGAAGGGAACCCAGAAGGGACCCCAGCAGTTTCCCTTGTTCCCCAACTCTGACGTGTAGACTATTGGATCGGGACGACGTAGAACCGAAGGATGGGTTTTATGACCTCCAGGCAACTGTGAGTCGAAGAATCAAGCAAGATTCTGAGGTTCCCATCTATGAGTATCTTTGTAGGTGGAATCCCACGTGGGAGCCCGCAAGTATGGTTGAGAAGAAGAAATGGAAGGGTGAGGGCAGCTGGAAGCTCGAGCTGATATTGGATACGAGGATGGTCAGAGATGGAGATATGTATGCTGAAGAATACCTATGTAAATGGGCCGATAGTTGGGAACCAGAAGACAATCTCAGCGATGAAGCGCTACGTGTCGCCCAGAGTAGATTTCGAGATGGAAATGGCAACGAGGACGACGAGATTGAGCAGGGTAACGGTAGTGATGACAGTACTGAAGGAAAATTTTCATTCAACGGAGTTGTGCATGATACACGCCTGGAGAGGGTGACTGCCCAACGCGAGTCCGCCAAAGAAGTAGTCAGACGAATTGTGAAGCAAAAGATGCACGACGAGCGCACCAATAACATTGCCAATGCTGCAGATGAATAGTCGCCTGGTAATGACACGTGCTGAATACGATTCATTTTGGATATGCTCCCCATGCAAATGAGATTTCTTCTGCCTCCATATGGATATTTTCATATTCCGTTCAGCTTTTCCAATAACATCAAAGATTCGCTACCTCGTAACTGTCGAAATTGTCGATCACTTGTCGAAGGGTTGGAGGGCTGCACTCTTGGTTGACTTTCTTGAATTTATCACTGCCAGATGTAAGAACGATAAGCACGAAAGTGAGTCATTGTATGTTCGATCGAACGAATCAACCATTCATCTGTCCAACTCACCCTCGTGCAATCCCAAATATTGTGTTTCAATTCTTTCCATTTCTGAAAGTGCCGACTGTACTGTGACTGACAATGCAAAGAACACCGACTGTTCGAAGGTATCCATTCTCGTTTAACGATAAGCGACAGAAAAATTAAGGTGCGATGCTCATGCTCGTGCAAGTTGGTCTACCAGTGCCCCGGTAGACATTTTGACATGGTTCATGTTGCCGATGCAATAGTTTTTTTCTGCCGGTAGGCTTGGTAAATGTATGTAATGATGATATTCCATTTCATTCCTATCGAAAAGTCAATGTCACACTGTACCGTACGAGGTAGCTTGTATTATAAAAGAATTATATTATTCGAGAGCTTGCTGCCATGATTCAAATGGATGATCATTCTATTCAAATGGATGATCATTCTTGGAGGGCCCATAGGTAATGCTCGTAGTCTTCGATGACTCCACCTTCATTCTCACGATTTGTCATAAACCAGCTTCGGCGAGACTCGTGTGCATCATCCAAATGTTTGTTCGCCTTGGCAACTCCCTTTGCCAGCGCCTTCTTGTGTTCATGGTGCTCTTCGTGATGATCTAGCTCGTGAAACAGCCCGTTGACTTCATTTTCTACCGCATGCAATACTGCTTTCTCTGCGTGTTCAATGGCATGCAATAGTCTATGGTCAGGATCGTCAAGCGCATATGGGTAGTGGTAGTCCTCGGGTAGAGTTGACATTTTCTTGATTCCAATGTCGGTCTTTACTCTTTTTACTCCTCTCTTTACAGCTTTTTGCGCCTTTTTCTTGACTGCTGCCTTGTCATGATGGTCCATCTCATGAAACAGAGTATCAACCTCTTTCTCCATCACCTTTGCAACATTGTGTTCTAGATTTCCGATGGCACCAAATATTTGTTTCTCCGCTCGTTCGTAGTCATCGTCGAATGCCTGTACAGTCGGTGAGGTCTTGCCACTGTTATGGTGAAGGAGTACAAAGGCGATGGTCAGTCATGCATGACGGATACTCGGAATGCTATTGCATTGGTTGAAGAAGCAACTTACCCTCGCGGAATTCCAAATGGTGAATTTCGGTTATGCGTTGTGAACGGTGTTGACTGGACTGCAGTCACCAATGTTGAGAGCATCAATTGTTTCAGGATCTTCATGGCCGTTTGTTTATTGCTTTTTAAAATGATCCTCCTTGTAAAATTAAATTTGTTGCCACAGATCAACCTCATGACGCGTGTTCTCGTTTTTCGAAGCGAACTCAAATGACGTCCTTCGAAGACTTGCTGACACCGAAGAACATACACTGTACGATATTAAAAAATAAATTCAAAATAGGGGAGAGGGGTGCCAGGTAACATGAAAAAGGGGAAGTGCTTGTTTCGCTCGCCATGATATATACCGGTACGATATATCGTACCGGTCGAGTATAACACTGTAAGTAGTGGTAGATCCATCCACCAACTCTTGCATCCACCTTTCGTTTGGATAATGGTGGATACCACTGGTGCAAGAAGAGCAATCAATTGTGCAAAATACTTCGTGTTAATTTTGCTCTAAGTGTTCTGAAGAGGATATTTTTTTGGTCAAGCAACTCTCATGGTATTGAACGAATCATGGGTACATCACGAACCAATGGAACGTGGTTTGACTTCTTTCCGCTTGTGCACAGACAGTCGTACTGTAGTTTCATGGAAAGGCACTCAAATTTAGTACGATGCCAATAAAGTAAAGAAAAGTAGAGAGAGACTGGTGTGTACGTGACGATATCTCTAGTGTGCAGTTTTTATCTTATTGGCTACCCTATTTATTTTTCTATACGCATTTGAATGCAATGATGCATGATCCATTGAATGACGATTGAATCAGTCATCTTCTTCGTGAATTGAGGAGCCGTTGATAGCATAGTCCTAATGTAATCAACTCTCCTTCATAAAAACCAAATCAAGGCTTGGTTGGTAATGGATACAAAAACCTTTAAGCGCTCCAGCAATATTGCATATACTCGTCCATGAACTTTTCCTTGGATTGTCCTGGCTTGTACCAATGCGCGCAATTTTCAGCCTTGCCAACAGCAGCAGGACATCGCCTTGTTCCTCCGCGTCGTGACTGATTATTCAAAAGTTTCGTTCGGGAAGCTCTGAGGATTGGATGAAAAAGACAACATGCTGTTAGTAATTGGGTGTGACACTTTTCTGTCAAAAGATCAGAACACGATCTTTGTTCTTACGATTGCAAGGCTCCAAGTTTGTGTCGACCATCAGTGAGTGACTCGGTGGATGTTGCCAGAAGAAAGAAGACTGAGAGTGGAAGGTACGATTTCATGTTGTTGTGTTGGCTGTAGTTGTCTATGTTGTATATGTTTTTTTTATGGCTTGATGCCTTGGAATGTTGAGTTGATGTTAAAAATTGTTCTGGGTGACAGCTGCATTCAAACATGTCAAAAATTCGCAGAACATGAACCGGAATTGTTCTCTTTTTTATAAAATATACAGTAAATATATATTGTAATAATATTATTTCAGTCCCGTCAATTAAAGACTGACACGACTGGAAGTGCTCGTCTTGCGTCCGTCATTCACGTCATTCCAACCGTTTTTATCAAAGAATGAAGAATGAATGAAGAATGAACGTCAGTAAAAAGCAAGGATAGGATGATGAAGAATGTTGCACTCATGATGAGACCACTGTTAATCACAGTTCTAGTGACATTCTCCATCCCTATTGCAGATGCGTTTGCACGCCCAGTCGAGACCACAGCTCTGAAACGGCTTGGAAAAAAGAGTTTCATTGAGAAGCAAGATAGAGGGACTCTACAAGAAATCACTTCTCCTGGCGAGCTAAAAGAGATCGCGTGTTCTTACTCCCAAAGACAACCCGGGTCTAGCAGTTACTTCAAAGGGTGGCAGCACTGGAAAATGTTGGCCATTGAATCCATTCGATATGACCTCTCCAATAACCTACCATACCAATTTGACAAGGCAAAGTTTGAGAATTTATTCTTTCGACTTGGCGTAGCTGCAGATATGGGGGAAATGCCGAGCTTTTCGGATCCAGGAGCTCGTTCGGGATATGCACTCGAGTTCTTTTGCCGCGCTCGCAACCTTGCTGATCTCTACATTGATGCACTGAATCCCTCTTTGGATATGCCACAAAATTGGGTAGAATCCATGAAAGAGTCACCAATGCTCGCAGGGGACAGTCAGGATACAAGAGCTTACGAAATGGTCAGTATCGGTGGTGGCCCAGGGTTCGATTTTGTAGGCTCAGCAATGGTGGCATCTTTTGCGACACATACTTTTGGAGAGGAAGCCGGGTCAAGAGCAATCCAAGCAACTGTCTTTGACTACGAGGAAGGTTGGGGAGATTTGGTCAAAGCCATGGATATCTCCACTAGGCGAGTCTTGCAACAGTCCAAGCTGTCTTGCCGTTGGGGTGGGGGTTGCGACATTACCAAGTCATTGGACGATCCTAGCAATGCGGGTTGCTTGGAGGCTGTCAAATCAACGGATCTGTGGATATGCCAATATTGTGTTGCCGAAAATGCTATTCGATTGAAAGAGTCCGACTACATTTTCTTTCGTGAACTTTTTCAACACGCAAAAGAGGGTTCAGTATTCGTATTGACCGAGACTCATCCAAGAGTCTGGCCCGAGTTTTACAAGCTGATGAAAGCGCATTGTGCATTCATGGAAATTGGTTTTCGCAAGAATGGCCGCCAAATGCTGGTCCGAAAAAGCATTAACGGTAGACAGAAAACGCCATTGATCAGTAACAAAGATTTGGAACTAGTCAAAAAGTTTGAGAGCATTGGGAAGTTCCACGAACGCAAACTGAATTCTGGTTGGGAGAGACAGGAGAAGAAGCACCGACGATGACAGTGCTCTAGAAAGGACATTGCAGATTCGTTGGTTCAATGCTTTTGTATTACACTTCAATTGATCAGCAAGTGACTGCTCGCTAGTCAGACAACATCGACCTCCGACATGATACAGGACGATATGTCGGGCAACGAATATCGGGCAATCCCGCCAACGTTGTCTGCCTTCCCAAGCCTCATGTTTCACTGCTCTTGGATTCCGACACCATTGCGTTGTAAATAATCTCAGCACCGTCAGTGCGACCTTTTGCAAACTCCTCGCCCGCTTTGTGCAGTTCACGAATGCACAGAGTCTCCAACGATTGTATCCCTTGACGGGTTTGGCCATGCTTTCGCTGAACGTCGGATGTATTCATCCTGTCTGTATGCTTCTTATTCCTTTCTTCTATTAATTCTTCGTTATCGGCCTTTTTGTGTCCATCAAAGTCTTTGCAAATTACGGTACCTTCCACTTCCATATAAGATGTGGCAGATAGTCCTTCTGCAGGGGGCATCAAGTTTACTTGAGGGATTACAAAGTCGTCGGACTCCTGATCATAACAGCGCGCAGTTATCGTTGCCAATGATTCAAAACTCCCACCAAGCTGTTGATTCTCCCCAAACAAATCAATGTCACGAGCTTCCTCTGCTGCTTCCGCCATACGAATTGCCCTGCGAAGTTGGCCAAGAGTAATCCCACTAGATGGATTTGCCTGTGCCATGGCAGCACCTGCTCCCCACCAGTACATTGAGCCCTCGTTGGCATCGGGTAGCTCGTTCTCGGCAGCAATCTCGTAGTGTTTGGCAATGAGGGCAAACGGATCGCAGTCTGCATCCTCGTCGAGAATTAGACCATGGTGCAACACAATGCCTTTGAACTCGTCCGGACTGAACAAGGTTTTGAGCCGATTCAAGTGCGCTGCAATGACAGAGTTGGCCAGCGCCAATGGCTTTCGCCGAAACGCCACCTCATCTTGCACTCGATCGTATTCAATTCCTCTGTCCAAATTGCCTACACTATTGGCCATTTCAATAATATCAACGCACAGGTCTAGTGTCATCTCCATTGAATAAGGTCCATTGATTTGATCACATCGAAGAATTTCAAGAGACATGAGCTGTGACATTAAGGATCCAACCCGAAGGCTGGGTCGAAATGAAGTCCCTTTCTCCTCGAAGGATTCCGTCGCGGAAACCCGGAATTCATTGTCCAGTAGCGATATGAATCTATTCGCCCATTTTTCAAGCTTGTAAGACTCGGCAATTGCAGCTGGTACGATGAGGCGGAAAATCCCTGCGTAGAGCACTGTGGAACGATAATTCAAGGATACGAATTGACGCATTTCCTTGTCCCATGTTTTGCCCGCCTTTAGTTGTCGTTTGACATATTCCACCATTTCCTCCGGTGTCGGATCTTGCTCCATATTTTTTATATTCAGGCCATGTGGTGCGCCTCCCAAGTTGGAAAACAAGAGGTTTACGGCGGAAAGGGTGCCCTTCGAAATCTTGATGTTGCGGCCAAACCCACAATTGTCCACCAAATATCGAAGTGGGGCGTAAATACTCCAGAGTGATGCCATCACTTGGTACATTGGATGCCTTACATGAAGAGGTGGCGAAAAAATGGGAGGATAGCCGTTGGCTGCCGCTAAGCTAGAGGGACCCGGACCCGTGGTCATATAAATATGCAGCCCTCCCAAGTGTGTAAAGCCTGACAAGGAATCACTCATGCTGTCGCCATTCGGCAACCCACCCAACAACCGTTCACATTCCAAAAAATATGCATCTTGTGATTCGAATTGCTCAGCTCGACTGGATATTTGCATCCAGGCCATTGCCGATTGTTGTGCAGTAGACCTAGCAAAGTCGGCAATGGCTCCTTTGATTCCTTTTACCCACTGAACGAATCCACGAAATAGCCATTCACAAGATGTAGGATTATTCACATCATGATCCGGAATCATTCTGAAATGATGCTCCATGGTAAGACAGCTCATTCGTCGTCCAACCATTGACTGCGCTCGCCAGAAAGCCTTGACGGACACTGGCAGGTGTTGGGCTGCCTCCAGTGGGATGACGGGAACCCCATTCACAGAGTCTTCAACACCAAGTCGCTCATGAATCTTTTTCAGCGCATATTTGAATACTTTGTTTTTGGGTTCTTGTTCCAAAGCAATTGTGTAGCAATTTTTTGCCTGGCCAAAATCCTTGATGAGCTCAAGGCATGTTCCTCGTCTCCACCATCCTTTGGCCCATTTCGAATCCAAAGCGGTAGCTCGATCCGCGGCCTTGCAAGCTTCATCGTACTTTCCAACTTTACACATTGACGCAGCAAGATTACTGTAGGTTTTGGCAGTCGCAGCTGTAGGAGAAGCAGCTGCTATGGCTGCTTCATAAAGATGGATCGCTCGCTCAAAGTCTTGAAGCTTGAAGCTTGCATTTCCTTGTAAGCGAAGATCTTCTGCTTTGGCAGTAGCATCAGTACCACCACCAGCATCCATCTCAACAATAATTAATAATGCGCAATACTAGTATTTCAATAGTAGTCCTAGCACTATATATGATCATATATATTACAAAAAATAGGTCCTAGAACTACAACAGCATCACAAATATTTTATATTGCAAAAGATATTCACGGCAGGTTGCGGTCGAATGAATCAATCAATCATTCTCAAAGGGCGCGCATTTCATTCGCGCATTTCATTCGCGCATCCATCCAAAAGATCTTATTGCACGCAAGACGAGCATCACCAATCACCAATCACAACTCATCTGAAAATTTCATTTGTCCCTTGCAACCTACCAGTACGGTAACCCCGATAAAACCAATGTCAGTAAGATGACAAATGACAGTTCCTGTCGCCGTGGATATTGGTGCGTATACTGCCTACCTACGGTAGCGAACCGAGCCCAGCAAAATGCCGAAGACTGAAGCTCCCAGCCAGCTATATCCCCCCAGCCATGCAGCAGTGTGATTAGAATCTCAAACTATCGGTAGAGCATCTTACGAAGCCGGCAACCTAAGCTTCATAATGGAAAGCAAAAATGGTAGCAAGCAACTCATCACTGACAAGGAAGCAATCAAAGCGATGGTATCTGGCCGACGAAATCAGTTACCGGATGGACAGCAACAAAAAACATTTACATTTGACTGGACATCCCATCCAGTATCCAAGTACGTTGAAGATGACATTGCCCGCCAAGTTGTCAAGCGCGGACACTATGGTCGCATGACAGAAGGAGAAACCAAAGTTCTCTCCAAGTATATTCAAACATCTTCTTCTGAGATGACACTCGAACAAGCAAGGTCATTGAGGTCCGCCCTACTCCAAGAAAAGGCGATGAGTCGTCATCACATTCTGAATTCCAAAGCCAAGGAGATTACTGTGCGATACAAACGTGGCCAAGGTGTTCTTTCGTTGTCCAATCAGTATGACTGTCCTCCAGTAAATCTGTTTCGCGCCATTCTATCCACGAGGGGATATTCCAAGGCGGATATCAAAGATTGTGTTCAACATCCCGAAGTTTCTGAGCTGAACAAACGGGACCGTCGCCAACTTTCAATTGCTACCCAAGCCGATGTTGTATCCAATCCGGATCGTGATTATGGTCACGAAAAGGGAGCAGTTTTTGAATCCATTACAGCCAAATTCTTGAAGGATTTGGGCATAGCATTTGTCGTTCAAGATGATTTGGTGGAGGAGCAACGTGAACTCTTTGGGAAAACGGTCGCCTCGCCTGACTTTCTACTTCTAGACGAGGTAACCATCAATGGACAAAGTGTGCGATGGATCGATGCAAAGGCGTTCTACGGGGCAAATGTCAAATGCCGAAAGAGAACGGCCAAGAGGCAGGCAAACAAGTATTGTGAATTCTGGGGCAGTGGTGCTGTTCTCTTCTTGGAAGGCTTTAGTGCTAACCTTACCGGTAGTATCGATGAATGCATGTTTCTTTCGGCAAGAGATATCATGACCGAATACTATTTCCAACCATTGGTGGAGCTAAAGGAGAAACAACATTAGTATACTGTACGAGGTCATACAACCAGAAGATATCGGTGCTTCGCTGGTTCAAGACAAATTCTTTGCCTGCCATCCTGCCTCTTCGACTGACTATAGTAGCTTTCTGGTGTCAAATGTCCCGATCTAGTGGTCCTAGAAAGTAGGTAAATGGTCCAAACCGTAGCGTTATAGAGTGTTCTAACATTCTGATACGTCTGACCATCATGATTCGCACCAAAATTGCGCTTGCAAAAATGAAAGTTCAAAAGTCAGCATTTGTCTTGTCTGGAGATTTTCTCCATGGTGATTTCCACCATACCACATCTTATTAGGTCGTATTTTGCAAAGTCAATGAGCGACTATTTTCTTGCTATGATTCGACAGCAAACCGAATCTCTTCGTTGGCTCTCACGTTATCTGTGTACAAGCGTTCAAGACCGTAGATACCTATATCGACGTGAGTGTTGCTATAGTGCTTGGCTGGTTTCTTTTGGCCCCCTCTATCGTCCGAACCCGGCAAATCTGTCGCAGCCACCACTAAATTCTTTTCCAAGAACGTAAATCTATGTGCACCCATCTAAGATTGTTGCAACCAAAGAGTCGTTCAGCATATGAGACAGGATAGTAGCAACACCCATCATCAACACTTACATCCCGCTTCCCTTGGTCTAAAATAATGGTTCGGCCTGGAAACCGCTGGCTATCTATCTTTTGCACTCCAACATTTTGTTTCTTTGCCAATGATATTTCCTTCCTAACCTCCAATAAATCGAGTTCACCAGCCTTGAAACTTGCTTGGCCATGGCGTCCTAGGACCTTGTTTACCATTGCTCCCAGGAGGCATGGCCCTGTTAGAAAGAGAGTATCAACTTCCCTAAGAATGGACAGTTCGGGTTTCGGACAAAACGTAGCATCGATATCCACGATTGTAAATCGATTTCGGACATTGTTGACTACAGACTCAATCGCTTTTGCCATGAACAGGTGGCCAGGAGCCGATGCAATTAAACCATTCCAAAGACACATCTTATGTTGACCAACAGAATCAGCGGGCTGTGATAGCGACGAGCAAAACGAGGCCTTTTAGAAAGATACTACAGTTTCACCTCTTGTGTCCAAATTCACATACCTCGTCTTCTGGAACCATAAAGCCAATATCAGATTCGATGGCCAAATCCAAGTTCGTCTCCAACAGAATGTCCATGTCAGCGTAAACACCACCATAAATCAGAAGAACGCAGTACCGAAACAAGTCAGCCTTAAAGGAACCAGGTCGCAAGGCATCATAAGCTTGTCGCACCTCGAGGGGAAAGTGAGTCGACAAAAAGTTCTCTATATCCCTGTCAGTGTAGAAGACATAGGTCCATCCCGATTGCTTGAAGGATTCAATGAGACGGCTCATGTTAGGATAATCTTCGGGTGTGACATCCTCGAGCCAAGTCTGATGAACGATCTTGGGAATGAGCCGGGAGGGATCTCGGGCATACTGTGGTGGTCGAATGCTGAGTTCTTTGGAAATGAACTTCTGTGGAATGGGTGTGCGGCAAAGAGCCTTGCAATAGCACTGACAAAAGGATTTACACGCTCGACAATTGCCTCCCATTCTATTCTTCATACAATCCATGCACCTCTTGTCGTTTGGCAAGCAATCGTTCTGCAATAGAATGTCGAAAAAGTTGGGCGTGATCAATGTCTGCTGTGGTCGTTGCAATAGCTTCTCCGAGATTGTCGAGATATACGGCAAATCATCTTCTTTGTAGCTTCCAGTCTCTGCATGAAGTGGTTTTGCAAGACTTTTTGAATGGGGTGGCGTCTGATGAGGAAAGATCAAGTGTTTCGTTATCATCACAGTTGACTCTGTTTTGGGATCGATGATACTGCAGCAAAAGCCATTGCCTTCGGGACAGTTCTGGTTCAAGCTATGTATATCAAGAGTGCGAATTCATCAGACATGAGAGAAATGTTTCGAAAGATTTCCCATGCAGCCGTGCAAGACGGAGAATACTGACCTGTAGCTATTCGATATATTGTAACTTAAAACAACAGAGTCTGCGATTTGTCCACCTCTGACAGGATTGATGGTGCACTTGTGTTGGAATAGATACCAATCGCTACTCATGATTCCCGAAGTCAAGGCGGAAACCTTGGTATCTGCGGCAATGGAGTCGTATAAGCCTTTTGTAATCAATAGAATATGTGACGCTTTCAACTCTTCCAGCGTTGTTTTCGTTAGAAGATTGACCATTTGTTTGGCGATGGTTCCATCTTTGAGATAGAGGAAGGCACCATGGATCGCCTGGGGAGCATATTCGTCGTTCAATAGTGCAACGTTGTTGTGCAATCCTTCACCAAGCAAGTCCTCCAAAGTCGTTAATATGGGACTGTCGGCATCAATGATCAAACCGCCATCATTTTGAGCAAGAGCACAATATTTGATCAACTCTACTGCCAAGTATGGATAGGTAGTATGGAGCTCCATGTATCGAGACTGAGCTTTTTTGCAGTAAGGCAATGCAAAGTTTGGCAGAGAGGAGGGAGGATTGGCATCCAAGTCCACAATCGTGGTAACAAGTGCCGATCGCCTCAAATCCTGTTTCAACTTTTTGGCATTGTATGAGTCGGCATTAGAAACAAAGACAGTAATAGTAGCACTAGAGTCATCTGCTCTCAACTGTCGTCGTTTCAAAGCATTGGGAAATTCTATTCCAACCTTGTCATCGCATATCAACTGGGGAATTATAACCCAACCACGAACATCAATCACAAAAGCAAGCAAAAGACAACAGGCAAAAGCTTGGAGTGACTTTGGGAATATTCTCGACTTTCTCTTGGCGAGCGAAGCATCTTTGGACATAATATGGGATCCGAGTTCAACAGAAAGCAATTCTTGCGACCATCGTTGTTTTTCAATTCCCTATCATTCTGTGCCTTTTAGTAATACGAGTATTGCCCTATCGGTATCCGATATTTTCCGTCGACGTTGGAAATTTCAAATCGAAATTCAAAAACGGGCGAACGACTCCTTCGACCATTTTGGTGGAGAAACAGAGAGAGAGGGGATCTCGAAAATTACCTGGGCAAATGTACTGGTACCGCTCCAGTGTCCTGTACTGTACAGTAAAGGACTGTGTGGCGAGACGATGCCTGCAGTGAGGACTCCGTTTGGTGCGATTACTGAAGGATTGACTTTCTACTCGAAAGAAACGAGAGCACATCGCTATTGTCACAATTTCTCGTCACAGGGCAAAGGTAACTATACTGTTGTATTACCCAGATCAACTCTCTGGATTTCCCATAGCTATCGTTGTACAGTAGGTACTTCTCCGCTATCCCAAGCCGCATTCATGGTTTTGAAACACAAATTTACGCAGTGCCATGCCGATGGCACTGATATTCGCCAACCAAGACACAACATCGTCCGCACATTTGATTAACACAGTCTACAGCTGCTTTGTTGTTGCATCTCCCGCATCGTTCGGAGTGTTGGTGCACGTGAGATGTGGTTGAGTCATCGGAGGTGTCGTCAAATGTTTCATCCGTTGTGTCTTCGGTCACACTTTCGTCTACCGAGGTGTCAAAGGTGGTTGTGTCTTCTGCTGTTGTGTCATGAGTGGATGTCTCGTCTTCATCAACATCAATAGTTGTTGTTTCAGTCTCATCGTTGTCATGGGTAGTTGTTTCGCTGGTCGATGTTTCGTCCTCGTCACTATCATCCGTAGTTGTCTCGTAAGTGGTTGTTTCTGCAGCAGCAGCCCTCTGTGGTGGTGGGAGTGGCCGTTGGACCTGGAGCGACTGGAAGGGTTTCCGGCAATAGACGCAAGTAGAATGGTTGGCCAACCACTCCGCGAAGCAATTCAAATGCACTGCTTGACCACAGCATAGAGTCGCGATATTTGGATTTTCATCCAAGCAAATGACGCATGCCCCTGAAGCCATTCGTTCTCGAGCCAGACGAGCCAACCGATCCCCTTCTTCCATCAAAGACGCCCGCGATTTCTCCTCGACGTTCCGTTGGCATTCTCGAACGGCGTGAGCCATGCGATCCAAAAGGAGACGGGCAAGAGGCTCAAAGATGCCAGTTTTGGGAAGTGCAGGTCTCTTTGCCTTTGGTTTCGAATGGTTTTTCTTCTGTTTCTCTTCCTGCGCTTGCTTCACGGCTGATCGTACTTTTTGCACAGCTTCGATATATTCCCTTCGTTGCTGTGGATTGGACGCAATGACAATAGTGAATGGTAATCCCAAGGTTCGTTTCAGCATCCAATTCGCTCCAATTCGAGCCAGTCGACCATTCCCGTCCGAAAACATGTGAATATCTACAATACCGTACAAGAACATGGCCGTCACTCCCGCAGAAAAGTAGATAGAGTCGTGTTGCGGAGACAGCCTATTGGTCAATGAAGCAATTGTGCTGGACATGGAGAATATTCGCTCTTCCCACTGATAGCAGATATTAATCATTCCCTTTCGGAATTGTTGAAACTCGTCAGCAATCTCCGAAGGCGGGCAAAAGTGTGTACTCCCGGCTCTCACCCTCCCTGTTCGAAAGGGTGTTGGTGGAGGCAGTCTTGCTACAGTAGATGTGGTGTGAACTTGACTTTTTGATGCTTGTGATGCTTGCTTCTTGTTTGAGGAGGAATAGGAATACAAAATACCATGCCATTGGCACAGGCTTTGCTTTGATGGAACAAGGTGATCCGTATTGCTGCCATTATCGTCATCATCAACAGCACGAGCAACACGAACAAATCGAGTTGCTTGAAAGGAATCGACGTGATCCATAGCCACCTCCAAGGCTTGGGTATGGGCATTGACAATCTTTGCCATACCATCAGTGGTTTGGGTGGTTGTGTTAGTTCGCAACCCTGCCGATTGGCGGTCAATTTGCGTACTAGCGAATTCTTGAATGGTTGGAATGTAGTGTGCAGTCCGAGAATGAGGCTGAAGCGGCGACATATGGTCGTTGTTGCTTTCTTGTTGGGCCTGAGCATGCAAGGTGAACATGGCCCTATAATCAGCAAGAAAACGAGCAATACAATCTAGGTTTGCTATTGCTGCATCATCAGTTGCAACAGTTGGAACAGTCGAGAGCGATAGATTGCCAAGAAGAAGCTCATCAGACCATTTCTGACTCAGAAAGCTGCCAATCTTTCCCGTTCTAATAGTTTCTTTGCTTTTGTTGTTCTTCTTTGCTCCCTTTGTGTTTTTATTGTAATTGCTACGCTTGTTATGTTTGGATTGATTGGGTGAAGTCTCTTCTGGTTTAGTAGATGACCGCTTCATCGTCCAAGACTATCTTGTCACTCATGGAGTATCCAGCATTGAAGTAATCAATCGCGGTATAGTAGGTACAAGTTAAATAGTTGTTTGCTTGGTTCGACCGCGATGAAGAAAAATGTACAAATTCTATTGGTTTCTTTATTTTCATCATGACATGTTTTATATTTTGCAAGACTGAAACCAAATCGGGTCCCGCATGAATCCTGATCGCAGTTTCAAATGTTCAATTTCGCGTCTTCATCATTCCAAACGTCAATCTTGGGCACACAACACCTACAGCAGTAGATACCGTACCTGCAAGAATCCCAACAGTGTACACGATAATATCCTCTTCTGATGGCTCGTAAACCTAAACGCAAAAGTAAAATAAAAAAGAAGGCCAAGCCGCCGCCTGTGACAGAAGATGAAATGAAAAAGCAGGTTTCAAACCGACGAGACCAGATGCCAGAAGGTCAAAAGCGGAAATCTTTCTCATTTGAATGGGCGTCAGTCCCGATCCCCAAGACTATGGAAACAGAAATGGGGCGGAGGGTGGTCAAGAGAGGCAAATACAACGCTATATCTGATTCTGATAAGGAAGACATTTCTGAATACATTGCCACATCCAAATCTGCCATGACACTTTCCCAAGCTATCTCGCTACGAGCTGCAGTTCTACAGGAAAAGACGATGAATCGTCACCATGCTGTATTGGGTAGAAATGCAAAAGAGATCACCGATCGATACCAACGTGGTCAAGGTATCCTTTCCTTGTCCAAGAAATATGACTCTCCTCCCGTCAACCTTTTCAGAGTCATTCTTTCGGGAAGAGGATTCCAAAAGAGCCAAATCAAACAGTGTTTCAAGAATCCTGAACATCATTTGAATGAGAGAGATTGTCAAGAATTTCAAAAGGCCTGCAGAGAAGATGTCGTCTCGAGTCCCAATTGCGACAAAGCACACGAGCAAGCCGAACGGTTTGAAACCATTACAGAACAGTTTCTCAAGGATTTGGGAGTGGCCTTTTTAACCCAAACTGATCTTATAAAAGAGCAAAAACCAAGATATGGCAAAATTGTGGCTTCACCAGATTTCCTTCTGCTCGACGATGTAATGGTAAATGGACAGTACGTTCGTTGGATCGATTGTAAGGCGTTTTATGGCGCCAATGTCAATTGCCGCAAGAAGGGAGTGCAGAAGCAAACTGCACGGTATCAAGAATATTGGGGTAGTGGGGCAATTATCTTCTTGGAGGGTTTTAGTGAAGGGTTGTTGGGCATTGCGGACTGTACTTGTCTCTCGGCCCGACAATTTATGGAGACACGCTACTTTGAGCCGTTGTCTGAGCAATACGCCATTGAGGCGACGACAGTGCAAGGCGACCAAGGCTGAAAAAAAGGCACATCAAAGAAGTTGACTACTGTATTAGTGTATTAGTGTATTAGTTTACTCCTGTATATCCTGAAGTGGGTTGGGGCATGCAAAATGAATAGGAGGCACAGTATAGGACTAATACCGGTAAATAGCAATAATAATTTTTTGAATTCTATAGTTATTTTTTATTTTAATAGCCTGGTATTCAACGAAGCGGAAATTGTAGTTCTTTTCCCGGATCATCAATGGCACTGCCTAGCTAAACGCTGATGGATCGGCAAGGTATTTGAACCATGTCACATCCGTACGTGAAAAAAATCTTTGTTTCTGGATTGATTCTTTTTCTTGCATCTCTATATAATACTCACATCTTGTCTGTCTGCCAAGATGCTTCCTGTCAAAAAGTGCCGCACGTTCATTTTATTTCTATATATGATATAAGTGAGCAATACAGCAGCGGTAGGTTACGCCATCATTTCTAATCATGGGGGTTTCTTGAGCCACAAATCAGCAGCTGCCTCCACTTGTGGTTTCAACCATGTTGTAGCTCTAGGCATGGCCCGATCGGCAGTGTAATCCACAATGAAGGATGGCAGTGCTCTTGAAACAGAGACTTCGCATAGCAAGTAGACGCGAGTGTAGCCCTGGAAGTGGGGGAAATGGGGAGGTTAGATTGTTATGTCCAAAATGCAACAATGCAACAATTTCACAATTTTCACAATTTTCAACATGCCAGATCACTCCGCAAGCTTACCTCTCGTCCATCAGGATTCTCTTCCGTGTACCAAATACCCTTGGCTCCCTTGAGAACCATGTTGGTACATGACTTGTCCAATGTAAAGATCATGTAGTCTCCATCAGGATGTGGTGTGTAAGTATGTACGGCAGCAATATTCAATCGAAATTTGCTGAGAACAAACTTGGCCCGAGTGACGCTGGGAGTTCCATAGTGTCTCGTTCCCCGACCGTTCCCAGGAAGCTTTGCCTTTTCATTGGCAGAGCCAGTATTGAGTTTTTCAGTCGTATAGAGTTGCATGTCCCTGACAGTAGGAATGGTTTGGGGGTACGACTCAAAATCGAGTAGACATTCCCAAACGACATAAGGAGGTGCTTTGACATCGAGAACCACATATCCCGATCCTTCTCGTCCCATGCGAGCTTGTTCTTGAACGCGTTCGCCCTTGGCTAGCAATGCCTTTTGTTCCAGTCTCAGAGTAGGTAGTTTAAAGGGTATGGGTTCATAGAATTCATTGGCAGTGGAAATGTCTCCACGAACCACATCAAATTCCTCTGGCTTTTGATTTCGTTCCTCTTTCATCACTTCATCATCTGAAGGGATTGGGATTGGTTGTACGGTTGTTGTCTCGTTCTCCTCAGCATTGCTTTTTCCATTCATCACTTGAGTAGATGAAGCCTTTCCGTTGGATTCTTCCGGTGTTTTCGAAGAGAGGTCGATCCGTAAGTCTTCTGTCCATCCACCAATGGAAGCAATTTCCGCAACAGTGCTGGCATCAGGAGGTACTGATTTGTTTTCTACTCCCGTCCTGGATCGTGCCTTTTGAAGTACTGCTTTCACTCGTTTTCGGACTTGCAAGGGACTCGATCGTCTGCCTGAGGCCGATTTGGACCACGAATCAACATTGTTGTTGTCAAGGTTATTCGAATATCGCTCTGAATCAGGAATCCGTTTCGGTCGTAAGCGTTTCGTTATGCTTCGCAAGCCAAAGGCATCTGTTGACGGTATTGTTGTCACGAATGTCACGAATGTCACGAATGTTAATGTGATGGCGTAAGCACACACACTGACAAGCATAGTATTCCTCCTCCGACGTCTGCAGTTGTTTATTCTCAATTCCTTTCGGTTGTTGTTGTCGTTGTCGTTGTTTGTGTGAGTCATGATGATATGAATAGCAGCTGTAATGTAAGAATCCCTATCTTTGTATCTCTATCATGTGTCGTTGTCTATCGATATGATAAGTAGTACCGTGTGAATTGGAGTTGGAGTTGGAATTGGAATTGGTTGTGCTGGCAAAATACAGTAAGTTGGGAACGAAAGAATAGAAGACATCATCCTGCCTGCCTGGATGACGCAGAGTCAGATTCGCATCACAGTCAGATTTTCGTCGTACGTCAACGTGGAAATGAATCGAACGAACGAGTTTTGGTCAAACTAGTCTATTTTGTCTGGCCGTCCCCACAAAATGCCGTCCACCCATTGTTCCTTCTCCTTGCTTGCTTCTCACTTTCCGGCCTGAGCTTCTCGTTTCGGCCTGTCCTTTCTTCTTCTCAACAACCGTTGGCGCATTATTCGTTCAAAACAAGAGTTTCCAAAGATGACAAAAATGAAGGGATGCTTACGTCATACCTGAAAATTACCGTGGACACTCCGTAGAAGCCAGTACGGATCCTTGAATGACCCAAACCACGTACTTTGGAATGCTTTTGCAAATTCTCGTCCGGAAACTCTTGCGAACCACCCGCAGCCATCCTTACTTTTTTTGTAACAAGTCCAGGTAAGCGACTCTTATGATGCTAAGAGACTCTTGAGGATCCAGCGAGAGCTTGATGCAATGGCAAAGTGATGATGATGGCAATCATTTGTTGAGACAGCTTCAGTGATTGTGAATTTTGCTGTTCAACCTTCACATTCTGCTGTTCGACCGATTTTGTTTCTGCCGAGTTTGGAGAAATATCTGCCGACGAGCAACGATACTTTGAACTTCGGATTGTCCGTCCATCATCGATTGCCCGTCCAAACCATTTGGATTTGGCTCAGCGCTCTGAAGCTTGAGACACACTGTCACACCTTGCATTGCCCTGCATTGCATTGCCTTGCCTTGCATCATTCTTTTCGTTAGGATTTAGAATCTTTGCAAACAATTGAAAAATCACCTGTCGACCAGAATTTATTTTGGTATCTTGGATCTCTCTCACTCACAAATGTCATTTTTCCTCATCTTTTCACGCAGACTAAATCTTATTCTACAACAATGCCTTCCGACTTTGTGATCAACTTTTTGGCCGGTGGTGTCTCCGGAGCTGTCGCCAAGACCACCACCGCTCCCATTGAGCGTGTGAAGCTTTTGATCCAAACTCAAGATGCTAACCCCAAGATTATCAGCGGAGAAGTCGCACGTTACACTGGTATCGTTGACTGCTTCACCCGTGTCGCCAAGGAACAAGGAGTCAAGGCTTTCTGGCGTGGTAACTTTACCAACATTGTCCGTTACTTTCCCACCCAAGCATTCAACTTTGCTTTCAAGGATGGTATCAAGGCCATGTTCCCCAAGGCTGACAAGAACACTGAATTCCTCAAGTTCTTCATGATCAACGTCGCCTCTGGAGGTCTTGCCGGAGCTGGATCCCTCATGATCGTCTACCCCTTGGATTACGCCCGTACCCGTCTTGCCTCTGATGTCGGTGGCGGAAAGGCACAATTCGATGGTTTGTTTGACTGCATCAAGAAGACCGTCGCCTCCTCTGGTATCGCTGGTCTTTACAACGGTGTCGGAGTCTCTGTCTTTGGTATCATTCCTTACCGTGGAACCTACTTTGGACTCTTTGATACCCTTTCCGGATACAACCCTTACCAAAAGGACGAATCCAACGTCTTGCGTGCTTCTTCCAAGTTTGCCTGCGCCCAGAGTTCCGCAATCGCTGCCGGATACGTCTCCTACCCATTCGACACCATCCGTCGTCGTTTGCAGATGCAATCTGAGGTTCCAAAAGAAAAGTGGGTCTACAAGGGAACCGTCGACTGCTTCAAAAAGATTGTTGCCGATGAAGGAGCTGCTGCCCTTTTCAAGGGAGCCGGTGCCAACGCCCTTCGTACCGTCGGAGCCGCCCTTGTTCTTGTGCTCTACTCTGAAATCACTGCTGCCTTCAAGAACTAAGCAGACGACTCGAGAACAAAGACAACTACTACCTATTCTGAATGCAGTTCTTGACAAGGTGCTTCATGGCTACGTCTCTCTCTCTCTTTGGTGTATAGAATAATGACATTATAGTTACAAATAAGGATCCCACCATCTCTCGATGCATTCTATACTTTTACTTGCAAAATGAATGTATTCTTATCGGTACTGTGTATTGCACCGTAGCAATTTCCAAGACGTCATTCCTCTCGTCCGTCGTCGCACAATGAAGTTTTTTGGTCGAAAAAATCATGTTTCGACCACCATTATTTTTTAAACATAGTAGCATTATTCAAAGCGAGAGAGGGGAAATCTACAAATATCTCGACGAGACCCAAGCCAATCAGTTGGTAGGCTCCAGCCATGTCCAAATCTTGTGGGTGTGGCCAAGATGTCATACACAGCACAGTCCTTACGGTCCAACTCATCCTTGAGTCCATAACAGGCAGCCTCGGCTTCCTCCTCACTAACAAAAGAACTATCCAAATGACGACGACGACGACGACGACGACGACGATCCCCACGTGGATGTTCGGGATCAATGCATGTTTCGGGAAATTTGAGGTGAAGGCGCTTCACACGGAACAAATGCTTGCCCGATGGAATTCTAAGGACTTGCCATTCATGTCCAAGCTCGGTAAAGTCGTCGAGCACAGTAACGCCATCGCGAGCCAAAGTTTGGCCAGTATTGAAGTCACCCAACATAACAACACTCGTTTCCAAACGATTCTTCATTTGCATTCGCGAAAGAAACCTGGACAAACTCCTTATAGGTAGAAAAAACAATCTTTTGTCCGTCCTGGATAGATAGAACTCAAAGTCAATCTCGATTCGATTCTTGGTGATTGCCGTTCCTTGTTGAGAGAACATCTTCACTGGAAACCCAGCAAACTCGGTAAGTTCTCCTTGGTACTCGTAGTTGATCCAATAGTGAGTCACAGAATCAAACTCCAGAGCAGAGCCTTCAATCTCCAAAATAGCATTGCCAATGCGAATGAATGACGGCACTCTTGATGTAACTCCAGTGTCTGACGAGTTTGGTTCGAATGTGAACATCAATGCCAAGTCCATTGGCAAAGTCTGCATCTTTGGTCAAGACAAGGTCGCACTGACCGTGAGATGCAAAGTGTTCATTGTGCCAAGTCTTGAAGTGCGGGTCGCCATTGGAACCAGCCTCGGTTTCTAGGACATGGCAGAGACTTGCAAAGTTTAAAGTTGGTCCCATACTCTTCAACTTATCGGCGCTGAAGCAACATGGCTTGTGGTCAAGAGAGTTGACACTCTGATTTTCATTGATTCCACCCAGAAAGTCAACGTGAGGATGATGGCTGTTGTCAAAAATTGAACACCAATCTTTCCTGGTCCCCACTGCATATCACCGTAGCAGATGCAAATATTGTTTCCTTCTCCCATATCACCCCCAGTACCTTCAGAGATCACAATCTGAAAAGTATGGTGTGCATCGGCATTGGCAGACAGATTCAGAGCTCCAAGTAGGACTAGCAGCAAATTTTCCATGATTATTACTCTTGTACCAAGCCTCATGTTCATCATGTTGATAGGTAGTGCTGAAAGCATCAATAGACCACGCATTGTCATCTGAAACAATTTTCACAGTGGGTTCGACTCGCACAGCTTGGTTGTCATGGCGGCCATCGGAGCTGAAACGGAATCGAGATTCCGGAGATACCAAGAATGAATCATGGGTTTCAAAATCAGGGACTTGAGCCCTGCTTCCATCATCTTGCACATTAAGGCAGCCTTCTCCAAAGTCTGCAGTTGGAAGGTGGTTGGCATTGGCGCTGATGATGACCAATGTAGAAAACAAGATAGTCGAGACAAATCTCATTTTCGTGCGACAATAATAAGGTTATTCAGATTTTGAATTTATGTGCCCACGTATCGATTGGGAAAATGGAGCTGTGTACTTTTCGGCTTGACTTTGAAACGGAAAGTTTCTCCATGGTTAAGGTAGGAAATCAACCTACCGAGACCGTTTCAAAACCCCCATCAGAAACCGTTTCAAAAACCCCATCAGAAACCGTGTTCGATTTCCCAGAGTGTGGTTTGCAACTCTTCGCCGTTGTTTTCGAAATCTAAATTCCATCCTTATTAGTCTGGCTCATAACGCCACATCTTCCTACTCAAATCGATCCATCATTTGAATCTACCGTACAGTAGAGACTTTCAACTTTCGGACATACGGTAGCGATAGTTACAGTATGGTAATGGCTTTCTGTATTTAAAAAAATTTAGTCAAATTATTCGAAACACAAATAGTACTGTAGTAGTTGTTTGTGCCACCCAAAGATATTTCAGTAGGCACAGACTGCAGTATCCGTACTGTTCGTTATAAATGTCCCACCAGTACTCTGGAACCAGCAGTCTTGATTGTGACGCACAATTGGAATACATTGTTAGCAATAATGCGCTAGACGTGTGAGATTCATGACCTTCTCCAACACTGGTAAAATTACATTTCAATTCTTGCTTCGAGCGCACACGTCGACCCTTCCTTGTTGGATCCAGGAGCACTCAAAAAGCAGTGCAAGTAGATCAAAGAGGAATGGATGTCTCTCGTGTTCGCGCTTCTAATAAACGCATCACACATCAACAATTCATCCTGGTGCTTATTGTTGCATACTGGTACGGTGACGATCAGTATGATCTTAGGGAACAGAGGAGACTTTTTCTCTTCATTGTTCTCTTTTTTTTGTCACCCAAGAAAACACAAACGGAAAGATGCCACGACGCCGAGAGAAAGAAGGCAGAGATGCGCCAAGCAAATAGCTCGGGAAGAGCGACGCAAACATAGCAGGGACACGTCATCTAGTAGATCTGACAACAAGGAGTCCAGCAGTGACAAAAGGGGAAAATGTCGATCTCGCAAAGGACGACTGACTTGACAGCAGTCATAACGCTGCACCAGGAGTAGTTGCTGCCACTGATTTGTCTCCAAGCAGATTGAAGAAATCCTCTAGTAAATCGAGATCCTCTGATGGGAAATCAAGCGATCGCAATTATCGCAGGGAAGGACGTTCCTTGGTTAGATGCAATGTTCCACAGCGCATTATCTTTCAACCAAGACCTATCACCATGGGACGTATCATCTGTCACTAACATGATAACAACTTTCCGTTCCGCAAAGGATGTTCTGGGGAGCAACATGTTTCAATCAAGACTTGTCATCATGGGACGTTTCTTCCTCTGTTATTAGCATGGTTGATATAATTGGCGAAGCACCCTCTTTCAATGGAGTTGTGCCTTCATGGATTTTATCTTCTGTCCGTGGCATGAATGACATGTTCCGAGGCGCAAGATGAAACATAGTTCAATCAAGACATATCACTAGGGGACGTTTCTTCTGTCACCAGTATGGCACGAACGTTCCACAGTGCAACGCCCTTCAATCAAGACTTGTCATCATGCGATGTTTCATCTGTCAGAAATCTAAATGAAGTTTTCACGCGTGCATCATCCTTCAATAAGGATCTTTGTCCATGTTGCTCGCTCATTCCTATAGTAGCATTTTTGCCAATACTGTATTGGTCTCATGTTTGATGGCGCCAATACTAGTTGCTTTATAACAAAGTCCAATCTGAAATCCAAACCTTGGTTCGAATCCGCCAGGTCCATTTTGTTACGATCGTTGATAAAATAAATGAAATGTCATGCATGAATACGAATCGATAATGTGAATACATTGTACGGTGTATGAGTATCAGCATCCTCTCACTTTTCTTTGATGTGTGATGGAATTTTCATGGTGGCTCTGGTTCCTGCAATTATTCACTGCATTGAAGCAGTGCTTTTTCCCCTTTCGGTCAGTCCTCGTTGCAGTTCATCATTTCGACGTATGCTATGAGAAGAAACTCCTTCACCAATGCTTTTCATCTGCGAAGCTACCGTACGAATACATACAGTATTTTGAAGAAACACAATTGAAGATGGTCGACGTTGAGATGGTACTACGTTAGGGCTTTACAGCGAAGCGACGAAGGTTCGGTCAACAGACTTCGTAATTAGAGAATTTTTTTTTGCCAAGCCTCATCATTTATGCGTAAAGTATCAACGAAGGTGCGTTTGCAGGGACCTCTTTGGGCCTGAAAAGTGTCATATATGGGATATATTACAATAATATACAGTGAGCTCATGACAACAACACAACAAAACTGGGAAGAGAAAGAGACCAGATAAGGCAGCAACTGAGAGAATTCACGCGTTCATAGGTTGACACGTATTATACTGGTTCAGGTATTCAGACTGTGAATTCAGAAGTTGCGCCGCTGTGTTTCTATTTGATTCTGTTCAGAAGAATTCGCAATCAATCTGAAATCTGCCAACGCATATATATCTTTTGGCTTCACGTCCACACGGACGAGCTTGTTGAAATACAATATTATTTAGTAGGGAAGGGACTGACTGGCTCATATCATTCACCATTCAACATTTTGAGCTGTACTGTGTCTGATTTGGCAGAGGTTTATTCAACAAGCACCTGGAGTGTACCAGATACAGAAACATAGTCTAACAGTTGACGGTTGACGGCTTCGATCAGCTGAAACATACTGTAGGGCTACACAACAAGACCAGCGTTCGCATTCGGAAACAACAGAAGCAGAAACAATCCCATCAGCGCTTTGCTATTGCATTTGCCTCTGGGTGCTACTACTGCTTTCGCTACAGTATCTACATTAGACCATGGAATCCTCTCACCACCAATCATTCACCATGAATCATCACAACTCGAGATATCACAACTCCTATGAAACATCAGCATCAGTGCCATCAGCACCATCAGCACCATCAGCACCGTCAGCACCATCAGCGTTACTACCCACGACCACTTCCTCAATCTCCCTATCTTCGGAACCAATATCTACTACTGTAGAACAACCCTGCTATTCCTCAGGAGATATCCTCGCGGACTCTTACATGCCACTATCCACGTCCACCAGTTCCAAGACTCGCAAAAAGAGTCGTTATTTCCGCACCAAGCCACAACATCAAGACCAACCACAACAGCCACAACAACCACAACTATATCCAACACCACAGGATCATCGATTGGAAGCAGCGGAAAACAACAACAACAACAACAACAACAACAGCAACCTTGGCAAAAGTCAGGAACAACAACAACAACAACACTCTTCAATAATACCACCACCATCATTTGTCACGGTGGATGAGTCCTCCCATCGATCCATTCGAAGGAGGGGTGCCGCCGGGTATTCAGAACTTCTTAAATCAGCCTTCGAGGCAAGTATGAACTTTGACATCGACTTTGACGACGATGATGACGACGACGACGATGCAGACGATAATTATCGTATTCAGCGTCGAAGACAGGAGGATGATGATTATTCGAGCATTCGATCCGATTGTACCAGTCAAGAAGAGTACTTTGACCGCAAACGGAGGCGGAGTCTATCATCCATCGCCAGCGGTTCCTCGTCGAATGGATTCCCGGCTATGAGTAGCACAACTCATCATGCACCAATTATAAACAACAACACATCATATCATGGCAACAAGCGCCGAAGGACCAGCATCTTTCTCGGATCCATGTTTCAGGGGATGGAATTGCAAACGCAAACGAACAGCAACAACACTACATCGACGGCCACACCACCCAACAGCAACAGCAACTGTGCCGCCGTGCCAGTAAGCATGGCTGCCACCAACAAGCCATGACACATGATTTTTATTTAGCTCATTATTTTTAATCTTGTTTGGGCTGGCTTGGGGCAGGGGGGCAAGCAGAACAAGACATGGAACTTTCATTACGTGAAGAATATAACACAATCAAGCAGAGTTTTGCTACTTTAAAAGTCATCACCATAATAATCCTGCATGTATTCGTACTCTTCTTGCTCCTTACTCTTCGATCTAATAACTTGTTTAGAGTTGGGTCAACTTAATGACCAGTCCTACTCCAGGCTGGCCAAAGTTAAAGTTGGTTGCCTTGTCATCAGCATGCTTCCTATGATGCCTACCATGTGGGTAGACGAACTCGACCTCATTTTCCATACAGCAAGCTCCCATCGCTAGAGAAGTATGCACTAATATTTCAAACCTTTACCAAAAACTTGGCTAGAACCCAAAGAGACATTACATCCATACAGCACTTTACTACTACTTGTCACAAAATACAATTGATTGCATAACATTGTACAGACAGTACGAAAGAAGTTCTACGATTGATCGTCAATTATGGTATCATTTTTTATATAATTCTTAAAAAATAAGTGTATGCTATCGATACTCCACCGAAATAATAATCCACTCGTCTTCTACTAAAGATTCAACCAAGCACCCTGCATACTGTTTGCAAGATCGTTGGTAGCCACTGGTTCTTTTGGTCGAAACTTCTCACCAGCAAACTGAATCACCTTACCAATTTGTTTTGGAAGTTGTTTTGGAAGCCCTCCCTTCTTCTTTTCTGCTTTCAGTTGCAGCTCATGAAGCATCTCTTCAACATTCACAAGCTCGGACTCGACAACTAACTTTTGTTGTTCCATAGTGGCCAAGACTTCTTTCGTTTCAAGTGCCAACTGTTCTGTTTCTCGAAGTTGGTCCTGTGCACTCTGCCAGGAAGATGTAGTACCTTGCAATACACGCTGCATTTCAGACTTGCTGGATTCCAGCATGACTACCTTGCCAATCAAAAGAAGGACAAGAGTAGCAACCAAGAAACGGCCTGCCTTGGAAGCTGCTGTAGTTTCTACCTTTACTGCGGTGGCATCTTCCGTTTTCAAATCCAAGTTTCGCGATGCGACCGTCTCCTTTGCTTCTTCGGCGGCCTTCTTGCTCGCCTCCAATTCCGCGACCTTGCTGTCGTAGTCAGCTTGGAGCTTTGAAACGACAGAATCCTTGGCCTCTTCTGCATCCTTCTTGCTTGCTTCCAATTCCGCCAGCTTGCTGTCGTATTCGGCTTGAAGATTTGAAACCATGGAAGCCTTGGCCTCTTCGGCAGCCGTCTTGCTTGCTTCCAATTCTGCCACCTTGTCGTCGAATTCAGCTTGAAGCTTCGAAACGACCAAATCCTTCTCTTCTCGAGACTTCTTACTCGCTTCAACAGCGGCTACAGTCTTGTCATAATCAGCTTGAAGTTTCGAAATGATCATTTCTTTTTCTTCTTGAGCCTTCTTGCTTGCTTCGACAGCAGCTGCCATTTCGTCGCATTCAGCTTGAAGCTTTGCGACGATAGAGTCTTTCTCCTCTTGTGCCTTCTTGCCTTCTTCATGAGTTGCGACCAAATCGTCATAATCGACTTGCAACTTCTGGAATGTAGCTTGGACGTCATTCAATTGTTTTGTCAAGGCGTTCTGCTTTTCTTGTTCAATAGAAAGTGCACTTTTCACCTCGGCAAGTTTGGCCTCGTGGCTCGCAACTTGATCAGCGAGAGCCTGCTTCTCACTTTGGGCAGCAGCAGCTTCGGCTTCGCGCTCACTGGTAACAGTCTTGAGAGTTTCGCTCAGATTCTTGATCTTCTCTTGTTCCGCTTCAATAATCTTGTCCTTGTCAGATGCGGATGCCGCAACTTGCTCTTGGAGGCTGTTGATTTGCTGCAGCAAGTCTTCCTTCTCGACAACCAGCTGATCTTTCTCGGCATTTGAAGTTTCAAATTCCCCACGCAGCTCTTTCAAGCTTGTTTCGACCTTCTCCTTCTGTCCAACAAACATATCATTCAAGAATCTCGTCGCTCGAACTTCACCTTGGAGGGAAAGAATCTTAGTCTCAAGGTCCTCCTTAGTCTCAACAAGACGTTGTTTGGCATAGCTCAACTCGCACGATTCTTCGGTCAAAGATTTCAACCTGGCTGCTAAGTTCTTCTTCTCCCCAATTTCCTTGGACAAAGCAGCTTCGTGCTCACGGCGCAACTCCTCGACACCTGCTTCTTGCTTCTCGAGGCTGCTGAGAAGGTTGCTCTTTTCATTTTCAAGGGTCTTCACAGCCGATCCCAAATCCTCGAGCTTTGCCAAAGCTGACGCTAGCTTCGTCTCGCTTGCTTCTGCAACTGCAGAAATTTCGGCGTACTCAGCAGACAACTTGTGGTGAGCCAATTGCATGTCCGAAAGCTCTTGGGTTAAGGCATCGTGGGCAATCTTTTCATTGGCCACGACGGTATTGAGTTCATCCACCCGAGACTTCTCGTGAGACAGCTCGTGTTCGAGAGCTTCTTTCTCAGCCTTTGCGGCGCGAGCATCACTTTTTCGAGCATTTTCAACTTCACTCAACTCGACTGTCAACCGCTTGGTTTGCGCCTTCTCGGCACTCAACATTCGCTCTTGAATCATATTAGTTGCAGTTATTTGTTGTTGCAAAGAGCCCACTTGCATCTTGAGTTCGTTCTTCTCCTCCCCATGGGCTTTCTCAGCTTCTTGTTGTTTTTGTTTGATCTGAACAATTTCGTCTTGCTGCGACTTGCACCCCCTTCGAAGATCATTTGTTTCGTGTTGAAGATTCTTCACCTCGGCCTTCAGATCCTTCGCTTGGTCTTGGCTTGCTGCAATTTGGTTCTTGTAAATGGCGTGCAAACTTGTGACTTGGTTTTGATGGGCTGTCTTCATGGCATCCATGTGTTTCGACAGATTGCTCAGTTCTTCTTCCTTTGCATTCAGCTTGTCAGAGTACTCCGATCGAGCTTTCTCGAGTTCTTCTTCGTTTGCCTTGATTTGGGCTATCATTGCCTCGTTTTTCGCCTTGGCTTCTGTCATCTCGCGTTCATACTCATCAGCACGCTCTTTGGAATTCCTTTCAATGATCTCCTTGCCCAGTTCTTCATCGAAATCGAGAAGCTCTCGCTTGAGCTTTTCGTTTTCGCGTTCAACACGCTTGAGTTGGGCTTCATGGTGCTCTTTGAGCTCAGCAACCTCACTCTCAAGGTTGTCAATACGGTCACGGTGGACACTGGCAATCACCTTGTACTCGGCTTCCAGTTCCTTGATTTTCTCCTGATGCTCGGTGAGGTGAGTCTTGAGTTGGTCGATTTCCTTCTCAAAGTCGCGAACTTGGGCCGCGTGATTATTTTGGGCTTCCTCAAGTTCTTTTTTCAAAGCGGCGACCTTGTCCTGTTCATCATACAAAGCATCTTCGTATTCCTCCTCTTTCTTTCGGATGGCTTGTTGCAAATGCCAGATCTTTGAAGACATTTTCCCCTTGGCTTCAAGAGTACGACTCATCTCCTCCTCCCGCTTGGCAATGGTAGCACGGGCAGACTTGATTGCTGCTGCATCTTCAGTAGCTTGCTTGGAGGACGATTGTCGGAGATTGAAGACCTCGGACATGAGTTTTCCCTTGGCTTGGAGTGTGCGGCTCATTTCTTCTTCTCTCTTTTCCAGGGCGGCTTTTTTCGTTTCCAGTTCCTTGGTCAATTCAGCTTCCTTCTTCTGGGAGGACTGCTTCAAGTTGAAGAGTTCGGAAGAAAGCTTACCCTTGGCAACGAGAGCGGCGCTCATCTCTTCCTCGCGCTTTATACGCTTTGCGGCTTCCTCGCCAACAGCCTTCTTTACCTCTTCGTCCTTGTCTCGAAGGCTTTTCTCTAGGTTAAACACCTTGGACATGAGTTTTCCCTTGGCTTCGAGTGTGCGGCTCATTTCCTCTTCTCGTTTCGCTGTCGCTGCTCGTTCAGTCTCCAATGCCTCCGTGAACTCCTTTTCCATCTTTGAGTACTTTTGCTTCAAGTTGAAAAGCTCCGACATGAGTTTTCCCTTGGCAGCAAGAGTGCGGCTCATTTCTTCTTCTCGCTTGGCAAGAGCTGCTCGTTCAATTCTCAATTCCTTCTCCAGCTCCGCCTCGCGCTTGGCCAGAGTTTGCCTCAGGTTGAAAACCTCAGAAGAAAGCTTTCCCTTTGCCGCTAAAGTGCGACTCATTTCTTCTTCGCGCTTGGCCAAGGCTGCTTGTTCCTTATCCAGGGCAGTCTTGAGTTCAGTCTCCCTTTTGGCAGAGGATTGCTTGAGGTTGAAGACCTCGGACATTAGTTTTCCTTTGGCTTGGAGTGTGCGGCTCATTTCCTCTTCGCGCTTGAGAGTAGCGGCATGTTCGGCTTCTAGGGCTGCCTTGTGTTCTATCTCCTTCTCTCTAAGAGTCTTCTTTAAGTTGAAGAGTTCCGACATGAGCTTGCCCTTGGCAGTAAGAGTTCGGCTCATCTCTTCTTCTCTTTTGGTAATAGCTGCTCGCTCGTCTTCCAATGCCATCTTGTACTCCATTTCCTTTTGCTCCATAGTCTGCTGGAGAATAAAGAGCTTGGAAGAAACTCTCCCCTTTTCTCCAAGAGCTCGGCTCAAATGCTCTTCACGAGATTCAAGAGCAGCCTTTTCGGCCTCGAGAATCTTCTCTTGTTCGAGCATCAGTTGCATGTCCTTGACTTGTTGATCTTCCAGCTGTTCAATCTTGTATTGTTGAGCCTTCATCTTTCTGACCATGGAATCTTTCTCGTGCTGTGCAGCACTGAGAGTCTGATAATGCTTGACCTTCAAGAGTTCAATATTTTCCATCAGCTTTTGCTTCTTCTCGTACTCGGCAACGATGGCAGTCATGTGCTCCTTGGCAATGCGATCCAATGCCTCTCGTTGATTCTCGCACTTGCGGGCAAGTAACTCGGTCTCCTTCTCAAAACGGTTCTTTTCGATGCTATAGTTGGCTTGGAGCACCTTCATCTCTTCCTTTGACACGCCGGCCGTTTGAGACTCGTTCGTATTCGCTGTTAGACTGTCTTCTTCAGCAGCGTGGGCGGCGGCTTCTCTGGCAGCAAGCTTCTTGAGTCTTTCGGCGAGTCTCTTTTCAATTGACGCTCGCTCTTTCCTAGCTCTCTGAATGGCACCTTCCTTATTGGCAGATGGCTTGACGGCGCTATCCAGGCGAGCCTTCGAAGGCACGCTATCTGATGGAATCAAAGATAGAACATCTTCTAATCTTTTTCCAGATGGTGTGTGTGGAGACTCAGAATAGTCGGAAACTCCTCCAAGGCTGTCGTCAAGCGACAACATGGTCGTTTCCATTGTGTGATCGGCAGATCCATGGGACCCATTCAGCTTGTAATTGTCCCGAAGGACACTCACATCGGTTAGGGGGGCATCTGAGTTCATTTCTTTCAACTCGTTCAATTCGTATTCTCTCTCTGATTCTTCTATGATGGACGATTGGGTATCACCCATTGGCGGCATCACAAAAATTGTGAATGGATCCGCCAATTTGGAATGGATCACAAATCACCAGTCATTTTGACATACGCGTACGTGGCCTTTCTACGTAAAGGATACGGGCCCTATCGTTGCGCATTATGCGTTATTGACAAAAGCAGCTATGACACCGGGATTCTACGTTACTACCGGCAGGTAGTAAGTAGCCTTCAATTCTCGCCAAAAGAATTTAGCAAGAAAAAGAACGTGTTCTAATGACACCTGTTCGTTTCGCGAAAATCTTAAATGAACTACCATTACGTGCAAACCGTACATTAAGTACAATCGAGAACGTCAAATAAGCCCAAAATAGTCGTTATTCAGCAACAAAGCGCACGGAAAGTGACGTAACTAGGAAAAATTTGTCAAAGAAGAGAAGCCTTTCAACGTTTCGATCATTGGACGGTTGATTCGCGAAGGTGGCCCGCGCCAATTTCTACTTAATGAGGCTTTTCTTCAGATAGTTGAACTTAGGGGAAGCGGTGACTTTTCATTTATAAAAAGTGACCAAATCAGTTGTTCTCGGGTGGAAACAACTCTCTGTGCAGATGCCAGAGACAGGCCCAAGACAGACATTTCACATCATGATACTTGTAGGGATTTCGTGGACATCGTGAGACAAAATGACGCACCATAGCTACTACCGGTACATGCAGTTGATGAAGAGAAAGCAAGAACCTCAGTACCGGTCGTCACAATTGGGTGGAGTTTGTGAGGAGCAATTCTTCCAACTGTAACTATATCGGCATTGTAAAAGAATAACCAGCTACTTTTAAGTGAATGCAGTACCAGGTACACGGTGGTGGCTATTCAATTTTACTGCTTTTGCCATTGATGATGCTACAGCAAGTACTCTCCCATTCGTCTTCACTTGCGTCACTCATGAGTGGCAACGATTTCAAATTGCAAATACGACAAGGATTCCCTATGGGAGGCTTCCGCACCAGCTTCCTCTTTCATGTCCAGGTGTTTGGAGCAGCACATAGCACAAAGGAAAAAAACGTTGCTCTTGTACAATCCGTAGTCAAATATTGATACTCCATACCCCAAATACCCAATGTCATTCTTGTTACATGACCAGTCCTCCACACTGAAATCGATAAGTTGTAGAGCTGTAGTGCCGTGGTGTCTTTGGACCGTCTGACTTCACTTCGATCTGCTTCATTTTCCAAAAAGCCAAACTGATCAGAGAAGCTGTTTCCATGGCCGTGCAGTCTCCCTCATAGCGAACATCTTGACCCACAAGTTCTTTTTGCTCCATAGTTCCG